GTTGCTCAAGGATAATCTTGTCGCGAAAGGGATAGTTCTGTCATTCATCACAGATTTTTTCACGGAGTATTTGATTGATAACAGTCTTGATGACCTGATCGCGATTTGTAAGCGGGGTAAAGTGGAGGACAACCTTCTTGAGTTCTTCCCATCTGCGAAGAGGACACCAGAAGCCTTCTCCGAGCACTTCACGTAAGTTTGTTTAATCAATGAGAAAAATAGTCCTGTTCATTTCATTTAATCCACAGTAAATGCCCAGTTAGTCCATCAATGGTATACTATTACTTAGTTATATTCTCAACTTTCTTTTGGACTGATTTTTGTCATTGACTATGCAATGCAGACTCAGTTTTTAGCCTTTATGCATATCTTGCTCGAATTGTTAAGGGTATTTTTTGTCCACATTAGGGCTGATTCCGTGGGGAGGATTGATCGTTTCTCTCTCATTTTTCTTTTATCCTTTTATCTTCTTTATCTGTCTTAAGTTCTTTATCCTTTCATCCTTTTTATTTTCTATATATTTTCTACCCTTTTTATCTTGTCATTTTATTTTGATCTTGTATTTATCATTTTATCTTTATCTTATCCTACCTTATCTTCTTATCTTTCGTACCTTTCTTTTTTGGCTCTGATGTCATGTAACAATTCATATTAGCCGACCCCAAAATCTTTTTGGATTAAAGCTTGGATGTTGTTGTATTAGGACTAAATCGGATCCATCTTGCACTACTTAGGACCGAATTGAGGTCTATGTTGGGTTTAAATGTTGTGAATTGCTGAAAACAGCCTTTTTAATTAGAACCAAGTATGTAATTGAAATAAATTGGGCCAAATTGTTTTGAGATTTTGAGAACTGAACGGAACCCCCAAGAAAGGCGACAGCATGGTTCTTCACATATTCAATTGTGAAGTAACTAAACCGTGTAGTAACTTTTCTGCATTTAGTGGACCCATTTGTTATTCATTACCTCAGTTCAATCACCATCAAGTAGCCAAGTTGAAGCCCTGGAATGTTTTAAATTGCAGGCAAGATCCGCCACAATTATATTGCTCCCTTGCAACTTAGTATAAGATACAATTGATTGAGTTATACAAAACAAGGATGTTTTTTCTCGAGTTCCTAGAAATATTATGATATCCCAATTTCCCCCGTTTTAAGCTACATAAATTGTCTTAAATAGGAGTAAAAACGCCTTAAAGTTCCAAAATAGGACTATTATGTTTTTTATTCCTTGAATAGGAGTAATCTTCCAAGTTTGGAAAAAATGCCATGTTTAAAGCCTAGTAATGCCGGCAGAAATTTACTCGAATTCAGGGAATGAAAAACATGATAGTCCTATTTTGGAATTTCAAAACGTTTTTACTCCTATTTAGAGAATTCTCTCTTTAAGCTATGTGTGGTGAATAAATAGTTTCGTTAATGCCAAACTTGGCATAAATTTACTCGAATTCAGGGAATGAAAAACATGATAGTCCTATTTTGGAATTTCAAAACGTTTTTACTCCTATTTAGAGAATTCTCTCTTTAAGCTATGTGTGGTGAATAAATAGTTTCGTTAATGCTTTTTTGGGGAAAACTTTGAGAATAGTAGTAAATGCTTTCTAGATAAGTATGATGCTTCATAAAAAGAACCATTGGCCCCTTCTATGAGAGGGGCCTTATAATAAGGACCAGAGGGAGTACCTTATTATATTAAAAGTTTCATGTAGTCCCTCTTTCCGTCTCTCAACCTATCGACTCATCTTATTTGTCATACTTGCTGAATGTAGTTTAATTCTAATACTAAGTATTCCACTTTTCATCGCACATTAGTGTGTCTGTTTTGATTGGTTGGTACAAGTAATTACTATTATAGAATTTTTAGAATAGATAATATTTAGAGAAAATTACTAGTAAAAAAAAGGGGTGCTGATTCCTAGTAAAAGACCACAAACTTTTTTATTCCTAAGGTTATGGTGTTTTGCATGAATGGTAAGTGTTTTGATGCTATTTTTACTCCCTTCAATTTAGTTATTACTCATATAAAAGCATGTTTGAGTTTGCTAGTCATATACTTCCTCCGTTCTTTTTTAGTTACAACGTTTCCATTTTCACGTTTGCCAATGCACAAGTTTGACCATTAATATATTTCTTTACTTGTTAGTAAAAAATTAATAAAATCAGATTTTGAAAATTTAAAATGAGAGGAATTTAACAATATTTTTCAAAAATTAAATTTATAATATACTAATAAATAAAATTTAGTCAAAGTAGTCAAGGAGAGCATGTGAGTAATGTAAAATTCAACATGTTGCAACTAAAAGAGAACAGAGGTAGTATTACGAATCTACGAATGTTTTAGTCACATGAATAAATTTTGCTAATATTTATTAATTTTAATCAATATGACAATATCAACCAATGGTAAAGTGTGTACACTACTACTACGTATCAGTCAAGACAGGAAATGTGGGAAAGAAGGTTTTGGTTCATATCAATGGTTACTAAACCAAGTATAGGAAACTAAAATCAAATATGTTACTTAACACAAAGCATTGGTAGAGCTTATTTTTTGTAACTTTTGAAGTGTATATATTCATATTTCATACTACGTATAATATGTAAAAGTCTTAGCCTTGATGTTGATAACACGCCACCATCTTACATCAGAAATGCTGGACTGCTGCCCTTGGTCGAATACAATGAGAAGAAAATTTTTGAAGTGAAGCTCAAGGAAATGAAAACTGCATTGACAACTCAGATATCAGAAGAAACTGATATCTCTGAGGTCATAGATACTGTAAAACAGTATGTTAAAGATGCTAAGCTTCCGGATATTGAGGCTATTCGGATTCTTTGGGATGTATTGATGGATGCCGTCCAATGGTCTGGGAAAAATCAACAGCAGAATGCTAATTTAGCTCTGCGCCAGGTTATCAGTCTATTTTTTGCTTTAGTTTTCATTATATACTCCCTCCGTTCTCCATTCATCTGCCCAATTTGTCAAAACACACACATTAAGGTTCTATATGGTGAACCACGCTGATAAGTCATACACGATTTTGAATTTCATACAGGCCGAGGAAATAGTCAGGAAAATAATTTTCACTTTTCTAACATGACATGTTGAATAGGAATATGTTAGAGTTATCTACTGGAAGAACACTGGAAGAAAAATTAAATGCATGTTGGTAATACAAAATTGACTTATATATAGGGCCATTTTAATATGCCCTTAAATAGAACTAGATGGAGTAATTGATAACCAAATTTAGATATTTAAAATAGCAAAAGAAATGCATTAATTATTTTTAACTAGAATGAGGTAAAAAATGAAACTAATTGCAAAAAGCCGACCAGCTTATGCGCCCGTTTGAATAATAGCGGGTAGCACCAAACCGCTGAAAAATTGAACTATGAAACGCTGCAAAATGCAGCGGGTAGCACCAATCCACTGAAAAAACAAACGGGGCCTATAGTAACTGCTATAGGCTGATAGGCTGTGACGCCGGACAGTGGAATTCTCTGCCGGCGCTGGACAGTAGTAGCCATTGGTTCTGGTAGCAACAAACAGTAACTACCGTCATGACACGGGTGGTGGCACCGTGGCAGTGGAATATGCTATTGCAGAAACTGCTATTGTCCCTAGCTTTGCACTGACAGTGTCTTGTGCTATGGTTGTTCATTCCCAATTTCATTTATCTTCTTCAAGTCCTCATACGTTTTTTATATTTCGGGCTCCATTTTATATATAGGTGAAAACATGGGCAAAGTTGCTGAATGCATTTTGCACAAGCGGGAAGCTGGAACTGGAACTGATATACAAAGTCCAAGTGCAGTGCTATGAGGATGCAAAGCTGATGAAGTTGTTTCCTGAAATCATTAGGTCACTTTATGACCAGGATGTCCTTGCTGAAGACACCATCCTTCATTGGTTCCGCAAAGGAACAAATCCCAAGGGCAGGTAAAGTTGTGAACCTTTCCTTCTCTTTTTTGGTAGCCATACTCTTCTACCCTATGTTTGTGGATTAATTTACCTGAGCAATTCAAATCAATTATTGTTATTGGCAGACAATCATTTGTGAAGTCACTGGAGCCCTTCGTGAAGTGGCTAGAGGAGGCAGAGGAAGAGGAGTAACTACTCCGGCGTGAGAGACTGGCAGACTACTGTGTATCACACACACAGCGTTTCAACTTATGCAATGTTTATTTCGAGATTTTTAGTTCTTTAAAATTGTTTGTTTTTCTTCGCAATGTGCTATGCTCATCTGTGGTGATATTATTAAGATGGATGGAAATGTTACTTATACATTTTTTATGTTCAGCTGTTGTCATAAGATTGTGTTTGGAGTAGCACAAAATAATCCACATAGGATGTTTTACATAAAAATCATCACAAGAAACATATTTTGTGGTTTCGAGCTCTCAATATGTTGTGCGTAGTTAAAATATTGTTACAAGAGTGCTTATTGCCGTTATTGGTATTGGTCTTACTAACTGATGGGCTAGCAGACAGCATATGCAACAAGATGCACTGATTTTATGAGGTTCAATACTTCATGCTCTTAAAATTTTGTTCACAGAATTTCTAATTTGTAATTTAAATAAGGTATAACTGTATAAGCAAAGGAACTTGCAGTTCGAAAAAATTTATGGGAAGGGGCTGAGTATAAAAAACTCCGGTATCTATATTCTATAACTCCACAAGTTTTTGTAACGAAATGTCATATGATCAAATTTGTTTTGTTCTGGCAGAGTGGCAGATCACAAATTTGGACCTATCACCCCATACGTGTTAGTATTCAACTATTCATGAGAACAAAAAAAGAATATGAGATGAAATGATGGTTTTAAGAAAGATGTGTATTTAGCATTTTTCTTTGATCAACTCTGAGTCTCTGACTAGACATTCTTTTACTTTCCAGACTTTAGGTACACAAATGTTGACATTTACGTGTATGAATCATGGATGACCCCATTATGATGTAATGAATCTATGGGTAATCTATTTATCATGCACAATTCATCTTGACTTACTTGCATTAGATAGGTAAGTAAAAAGAGAGAGAAAAAATGGAGATGGAGAGCGGAGTTGAAAGGCGGAAGCGCTGTGTAGTATTGGTGGCGTACCCCTTTCAAGGGCACATAACGCCAATGCTACAACTGGGACAAGTCCTTCATTCAAAGGGTTTCTCCATCGTAGTTGCCCACACCCAATTCAACGCTCCAAACCCGAAAAACCACTCGGGATTCGCCTTCCACGGCTTGGCAGATGGAATCCAAGCAAGTGAGATGGCTGTAAGCGGCACAAGACTGAAAAACGTTCATGCTATGAATGAGAACTGCAAAGTGCCTCTTCAGGACTTTTTGGAAGAGAAAAGAGACCTGATTTCTTGTGTCATCTATGATAACGCCATGTTCTTTGTTGATCACGTCGTTACTCTTCTCAACGTCCCTTCCATTGTTTTTCGCCCTTTCAACGCTGTTTTCTTGGCAGCTTTTCTCCATATTCTTGAACATGAGGGCACTATTTCCCTCCTTCCTGGTATGCCGTCTTAATTAGTGCCTCATAAAACAGAGATTTAAGCACGTATGTACCTGCTTAAATAGTGTTGTATCCATCTTTTTTTATTCATTACTTGCTGTCTTTATTATAACTAGTCAAATCATTAGAAATATACACTTGCAGAACTAGTTAAGAGGCATAACATAATAATGTTAGAAAAGTGAAATATTGTAACTTTAGAACATGAGATGCCTTTACTAAGGGCCTCTTTAAGATTTTCTCAATGATGTAAGAAAATGGAGAAACAGAACTAATCTCAATGGCTAATCTACTCATGCCACAGAGTCAAGGCTTCAGGATTCTATTCCTGAGCTTCATCCAGTCAGATATCAGGACATCCCATTCCATAACATTTCTGAAGAAGTAAGAAACTTCATTTCTAAAGCAAGCAAAACAAGATCTTCCATGGCCGTAATATGGAACACAGTGGAGGATCTTGAGGAGACATGGCTTTCAAGGTTTCAACAGCATTACAAAGTGCCCATTTTTTCAATAGGCCCTCTTCACAAGACTGCATTGACCGGCAGAACAAGCTTGATAGAAGAAGATGGTAGCTGCCTAGCATGGTTGGACAAGCAAGTTCCTCAGTCTGTCCTCTTTGTAAGCGCATCAGGGAGTTTAGGTGCTATTAGTGAAAGAGACTTCACAGAGATTGCTTGGGGGTTGGCTAACAGCAACCAACCGTTCTTATGGGCGGTTCGACCCGGTTCAGCAATCGGTATAGAGTTTATAATTTTGTTGGTTTAATTTCATCATGCATTATACAAGTACATATTTTGGGATGAATACACATAGTGTCTACAGTCTACTTACACAGTACTTCTGTTTTTAAATAACCTCTTAAAGTTTAATTATTCACCTCTATTTTGACTATATTTTATTTAGGAAGATTTACCTAAATAAGACTAAATAAAAGGATAATTGAAATTATAGGAGTTTAAAGTTTAAACAAAATAGGACTAACTCTTCCTATTCTACCCTTTCCTTTGCCCTTCCTAATAGGATTTTTTAAACAATCATTATAAAATTAAAATAAAAAATAAAAAACATAAAAATAAATACAAAAATATACAGACCTCAACCACCACCCCAACCACCTTCCAGAACCGCCACCTCCGTTCGCCGGAGCCAAGTTGGGGGAAAATGTCATCATGATGGCAATTTTGAAGATAAATCTGAATATTTTCAAAGAGTAAAAATGTCATCTTCATGACATTTTAAGATAAATGTGGCATTTTTTTAACACAACATGGCATTTTTTCCGGCGATCCGAGTTGGTGATGTTGGGAGGTAGAGGACGCGTTGGCTGTGATCTACATATTTTTCAAATATTTTTTTAGGTATTTTATTTTTTAGACTTCTTTAAAGATTTTAAATATATTATTATTATTTTTATTTTTTTATTTTAGTTTTATTTTTTCACGTTTTTATTTTATTATTAATTTATAAATATTTCATTACTTTTTTATATTTTTATTATAAATAAAACTATGATTTTCTTATTAATAAAATAAATCTATTGGAAATTATAGGAAGGGGGTAGAATGGGAAGAAGAGACATATATTAGTCCTATTTTGGGAATAAAGAGATTGTACTCCTATTGTTGAATTTTTGGCTTCTTTTAGTCCTATTACCCTTTTATTTATTGATGTGTCATAAATTTAACTATTGAAAAATACTACTCCGTATTAACTTTATCTCATTTTAAATTTTCAAAAACCGACCTTTTTAAAGTTTGTTTACTAACAAAGAATTAACTATATGAATGGTCAGATTTGTGCATTGACAAACGTGAAAAGTTGTAATTAAAAGTACAGAGGTCTATAAAAAATGTCCACAGTAATTTAATGAATATTAGTACTTGGTGCTAATATGGACTTCTATTTTGATTTTTAAATGTAAAAAAAAGTGTATTAGTTACAAGACTAAGGGTCTGTTTGCAACAGCTTCTGCTTTTAAAAAAGTGCTTTTTTTAATGAAATGGGGAGAAGTGATTAAATAAAAGTTGATAGTGTTTGAGAAAAAAGTGATTTTGAAAAGTAAAAGTGGGTAGTGTTTGGTAAAATAAGTGCTTTTTGTGTAATAGAAAAAGTAAAAGCACTTTTGACGCGGAAGCCGAGAAAAATAAAAGTTGTAGTGTTTTGAAAAATAAGTGTTTTTTTAAAGCTAAAAGCTGAGAAGTGTTTTTTTAAAAGCAGTTGCAAACCAACCTTAAGCTGTATGCCTCATTCTTATTTTGATTGGGATATGGGAATCTTAACATGCCCAGGAAAGAAAGAGGAGATCAGAGAAGAGTTAGAGCGCATAGTTGGCAACAGAGGGCGAATAGTGAAGTGGGCACCACAGAAAGATGTTTTGGCACATGATTCAGTGGGCGGTTTTTGGAGCCATTGCGGGTGGAACTCGACATTGGAGGGTCTTGGCGAAGGTATCCCAATGATCTGCAGACCACTGAATGCAGATCAGTTTGTGAATGCCAAATTGTTGGTCCATGAATGGAAGGTTGGATTGGCACTGGAAGAGGTGGAGAGAAGTGTCATTGCAGAGATTGTGAGAAAACTTATGATTGGAGATGAGAGAAAAGAGCTGAAGAAGAATGCTATGGAGATGAAGCAGAAATTGGTTGATTGTTTGCAGAAAGGTGGCAGTTCTTATAAAGCACTGGATGAACTAACACACTTCATTTCTTCACTTCCACAACCAACTTCCAGAAATTGCGACAAGGGGACGAACAGATCGGAGCAAAGCTAAAGGATTTGGATCGGCGGAGCCAGAAATACGGTCCGGGGGTCGAGAATCAAGTTTATACAAAATGAAAACGGTGGATCGTTTCCAAACAATGTCCGAGTTGAATATTTTATATGTAGTTTAGATAAATAGGCACTCGTAACAATAAAAGAGATTGTTTTTGCTCTATTTTTGAGACATGTGACGTAAGTAATGAGTTAATTATACGTTTTTTTTAAAATTTGGGAAAAAAAAAATCAATATTACTCATCAAATTTTGCCGATTTTACGTTTAGATAGTGCTGATTTTGCAGAAGTCATAACTTTTTACTCGTAATGAGTTACGGGTATCATAATATATCAAATCGAAGATATTTCAGAGCTCTATGCTCTCAAACTTTCAGCGGGGTCAACTGACCCCCCTTGGCTCCGCCCCTGATCCTAAATCTTCCCGAGCTTATACTACATAATCAATCAAACTCCTTCTATAAAAACTGTTGAACAACTTGCCTTTCCCGATGAACTTGAGAGGATTCCAAATCAAGCTTCTAGTTGTCCCACCATATACTGCAAACCAAAGATATCATAAAACTAGACACGAGTGTTTAAAAAGATTATCATACTTAATTAAACATACGTAGTATTTGTTTGATGACATATTCTATGTACAATCATGATGTTATATCTAGTTTAATATTGTCTAAATTATTTGAGGTGAGTGCTAAAATACCTCACAAATAAATGAGGGCATCGTACCTACAAAACTACCATACATTTAATTTTGGCCCAAAGCATTATCCCATTATTTGTTAAAATATTTAAATTGTTAAATTACAATATTTTAATCGGTCCTCTCAAGCAAAGTACGGTACCTTAAGGTCGTAGAATTTAACATTATTTTATACTTTAGAATATTAGAGTAATTTTATTATTTATCTCACCGAAGGTGTGAGAGCCTTTGTTGCACTCGGGGATGAAGATGATACATGTTTTATAAATTTTCATAATAAATGGTCATAAATAACTTTTTGGTCATGTTTAAACAATTTGTAAAGTCCATGAATACTTTTGTTTAGACTTTTTCAATCTCATACCAGATCAGATCAAATCTAACTTAGATAATATTAACACATACATGTATCATACGGAGTGTATACCTTTACCAAATAAGACTAGACCATAGACCAGTTCAAGTTAAACTTAAACATCTATAATGCTTGCATGTACTTTTAGATTTGTACTTTTAGATAATTTGTTTTTGTACTTGAACAGTTTTTAAACATGCTTGCATGTACGGAAAAGGTGCAAATAGACCCATGTACTAATAAAAAAAAGTCAAATAAGCCCTTATTTAGGAGGCTCTGTCCGGCCGTCGTCATTTGGGGTGGTTCCCGGTTGAATTTTTTGATGAAATTTTTTGAAAATCTTATTCATCAAGTCTAGTTTACTCATACCAAATTTCAACTAAAACTTCAATCGGGAAGACATTCAAATGAATTCTTGAAGATAACTGTGCTTCTAACTGCGCAGTTATTTTCAACAATTCATTTGAATGCCTTGCCGATTGAAGTTTTAGCTGAAATTTGGTATGAGTAAACTAGACTTAATGAATAAGATGCTCAAAAAATTTCATCAAAAAATTCCACCGGGAACCACTTCAAATGGCGACGGCCGGACAGAGCCTCCTAAATAAGGGTTTATTTGACCTTTTTTGGTTAGTACATGGGCCTATTTGCACCTTTTCCCTATATTTAACATAATAATACATATATACCACTAAATATTTCCTTTACAACACACACACAATGAATCTTCCCTTATAAATGCCCAAAGTGATTCTCTCTAAACCTTAAAAGTGTAAAGTATGGAAACACTTTAAATTCTTAAAATTTGTTTTAGTTTATTGAACCTCATCATGTTGAATTGTGTTGTCCTCTCAAATTCTATTTTTTATACAAAGTTTTCTCTTTCATAATGAATTTTCTCCTTTCGTCTTGTTTTTATTTACTTTTTCTTTCTTAAGTGGACATTTTTTTAGACCTATGTGATCTATTACTCTTGATGTTGACATTTTTTAGAAGGAAACTTCTCCATTAAATTCTTTTGCTTTTAGATATTAGATAGTATTAAGAGATGAAGAGATGAGAGTGATCAAATAATTAGTTTTCTAATGAGACGCATTGAATGTATTTTAACTACGTAGTATTCCCTTCGTCCAATTGGATTTTGTCAATTTTCTATTTTTGTCTATTTCTGACAAAGAGAAATTATTTGTTATGTGGTCTAATGGTCCATTTTTTTTGGTGACTGTGATAATGCATTAAGGGAGTGTTTGCAATTGCTTCAACTTTAAAGAAGTGATTTTTTAAAGTGATTTTGGGAAAAGTGGTTAATAGTAAAAGTTGGTAGTGTTTGAAGAAAAAGTGATTCTGAAAAAGTAAAAGTTGGTAGTGTTTGGTAAAAGAAGTACTTTTTGTGTAATAGAAAAAGTGAAAAGCAGTTTAAAGCACCCTTCCACCTGCTTCCAGCTTTTAGCTTTTAAGTGATTAATTTAAGCAGAAGCTGTCATTTGAAAACACTCTTTTTAACATTTTTTTAAGCCAAAAACTGAAAATCACTTTTTTTAATCAAATGCAAACGCTCCATAAAAGTAGTAGGTAGGGGCTAAGTGTGACCAAGCAAGAGGAAGTCGTTGATCATAAACAGAGATCAATAGATCATGTTCTCAAGCCAGGAAAGAAAGTAAGAAAGAAAAAAGGCAAGATGGAAATGGAGGGCGTCGCTGAAAAGCGCGGCTGTTTAGTATTGGTGCCATACCCTTTCCAAGGGCACATGACGCCTATGCTGCAACTGGGACATACCCTTAATTCAAAGGGCTTCTCCATCATAGTCGCCCACACCCAATTCAACGCCCCAGACCCGAAAAACCACCCAGAATTCACCTTCCACGGCCTGGAAGACGGAATCCTAGAAAGCGATTTCGCTGTAAGCGGCACAAGACTGAAAACCAAGTTCATGAATGAGAACTGCAGGGCACCCTTTGAAGATTTTTTGAAAGAAAAGGGAGATTTGGTTTCTTGCGTCATCTATGACAGCGCCATGTTCTTTGTTGACCAGGTCGCTGTTCTTTTCAACCTTCCCTCTATTGTTTTACGCCCTTACAATGCTGTCTTCTTGCAAGCTTTACTCCATGTTCTTGAAAATGAGGACACCATTTCACTCTTTCCAGGTATGCTTCCATGATGGATTACCAAATCTAGATCTATAGACTGTAGAGAAATAGTAATATTAAGTACAATATCTGTACATGTTTGGTAGGTAAGTGAGGAGAAATGATGGATCCAACTTAATTTTGAGCTAAAAATTGAGTCTTTTTTAGTCATTAGCATTAAAGGTTAGTTTCAATCACTGGATCATTCGAAAAATTAAATGAAATTCTAAAATTATAAATTAAAAATAGAATAATAAACTAACATATAACTAGGATCATGTGATGTGTCTTGTTTCTTTAAGGTCAATTTGACTACGATCAGTTTGACCCATTTATTCAATTCTGAATTCTCTTAGTTTCAAGTCCTATTTGCAGTGATTTAAGGTAACTTTTTATTGACAAAAAATTTATAAGTTACAGATGCATTACATCACTTCTTCAAATCCTAGTTTTTTTATTCACTATCATGTTTGTATTGATGCATTACTCTCATATTCAACCAAGTATATTGTATAAAAAACGTAACATTCGAAAGTCTATAAGATCAATCTTTTGAGTCAATCTTTATTTTCTGTTGGAAATATCATTCATTCTTACGGAAAAACAAGAGAATTGATAAATGCGTTTTCTAAGATTGAAATTACAAAGTCTATTTAAGGATTATTCACATCAAGAAATGCATGTTTCTTTTTCAAATCAAAAATAGAAACCATACGATACCTTGGTTTAAAATCTTCTTGTTGACCCTAAAAAAAGAAGACCAGACTAATCTCACTGGGAATCCACTCATCTGTCATGTTACAGAGTCAAGGCTGGAAGACTCAATTCCTGAATTTCATCCCGTGAGGTATCAGGATATTCCATACTGTCGTGATTCAAAAGAGGTAAAAAGCTTCATTGGGAATATAATCAAAATAAGATCTTCACTCGCCATAATATGGAACACAACAGAGGATCTTGAGCAGACATGGCTTTCAAGGTTTCAACAGCATAACAAAGTACCCATTTTTCCTATAGGCCCTCTTCACAAGACTGCCTTAGCTCACGGAACAAGCCTGATAGAAGAAGACGACAGCTGCCTGGCATGGTTGGACAAGCAAGCTCCTCAGTCCGTCCTCTTTGTAGGCGTCTCAGGGAGCTTAGCTACGATTGGTCAAAGAGATTTTGAGGAGATTGCTTGGGGGTTGGCAGATAGCAACCAGCCGTTCCTGTGGGCGGTTCGAGCCGGTTCAGTCAACGGTAATATACAATTTACTCCCTCTCAAATATTTATTAAAATGGGAAATGTTATTAAAAAATAAAATTGTGTAACTGTGTTTGTTATAAAAATGAGAATAATATTAACAACATATTAAAGTGAACTTATACACAGAGTATTAGTTTATTGTTTTATACCAAATGACTTCATATTATGTTACTCTGTACAATATTTCAATGCAATTCCAAAAAGAGAAATGAGAAGAAAATTTTAAGACATTCTAAAAAGAAATGGTGTGAAGAAAGTTTTAGAAGATCATAGGCATATTATTAATGTTTATCAAATAATTAAATAAGGTAAAATATCAAGCAAGTCCTAGCTTGTTCATATTTCAGTTGTTCAATTTTGTCCTAGAACTAAAAAAAATCTATTAAAAAACTTAAGTTCTCTATTTTACATGTACTCTTGATTACTTGCCAGAAAAGAAAGATGAGATCATAGAAGACTTCGAGAAGAGAGTCGGGAACAGAGGGAAATTAGTGAAATGGGCACCACAGAAAGATGTTTTGGCCCATAGTTCGGTGGGTGGGTTTTGGAGCCATTGCGGTTGGAACTCGACGTTAGAGAGCATTTGCGAAGGCATCCCAATGATTTGCAAACCACTCATTGCAGACCAGTTTGTGAACGCCAGATTCTTGGTCCATGAATGGAAGGTTGGATTGGCATTGGAAGAAGTGGAGAGAAGTGTGATTGCAGACACCGTGAGAAAACTTGTGGTCGGAGACGAGAGGAAAGAGTTGAAGAAGAATGCGATGGAGATGAAGCGGAAAATGGCTGATTGTTTAGAGAAAGGTGGTAGTTCTTATAGAGCACTCAATGAACTAACACATTTCATATCTTCACTTCCGCCAAGAACTTCCATTTGTGGGTCGATTCAGAGCAAAGCTGAATGGTTTGTATCCTAGATCTTCCCAATGCTTTACATATCTTATGCATCCCATTTGACTAAATTAGTAAATTACGGAGTACTAAATAAATGTAGCAAACACATTGTAACCCTATTTTCAATTTTTAACTTAAAGCTCCTCACATTCATTGGTAGAATGTAGATCCTGTAACATATGTGCATGTATTAATGAAATATGTAGTACAGGGGTTTTGCTACTAATGTTTAATGTAAGTGATCACAAAAGCTTTCTGTATATCATTAATTAATTATTGTTAGTTTGAAATATCTTTGTTGTGCAAATATACTTCTTCAATATTGTCTCAGACTATGGGGTGTTTGGAACTACTTCTAGTTCTGCTTATTTTATAAAAGAATCCGTTTTTCAAAAATTGATCTCCTCCAGCTTCTAAAAATTTGCTTCTATGAGTACTCTGGAACGCCCAGAAGTACTTTTGCACTTTCATCCAAACACTCCAATATCTGTTTGTGCTCATCGAAGGAGTAGAAACAGTTTTAAGAAGCAGATCCAAACACCCACTAAGAGCCCGTTTGGTAACTTTTATTTTCATCTTATCAACTTTATTATCAATTTGTTTAACCAAACATGTAAATTTTGATTTTCCGCGCCGCATTGTGTAATAATCAAAACATGTATGGTTGAATTTACTTTTCTTTTTGAATTGATTGAAGTTACTACACATGATCATTTTGGCTATTCGCTCTTATAATTATTTGTTATTTTATTAATAAAGTATAATATATATATATATAATTTTAGGAAAAGTACTGAAAGAGTCGGGCCCATTCTCAAATAGGCGCATGTGTTTTTTTTTTTAACAAAATAGGTTATGTGTTTAAGCTCTGTTATCACAGGAGGGACCTGACACTTGACGCCATTGGAAATAGATAGGGGGAAACGATAAACAGTAACTCTGATTTTAAAAGAGCTCGAAAAATTCAAAGAATAATATTGGGAGGTGCGCCTCATCAAGGCGACCTCCAAACCATCTTTCTTTAATGGTAGAGGGCGGTAGGTCACTCCAGTGGAGGAGCTAGGGGGGGGGGGGGGGGGGGGGCAAGGGGGGGCAAGCGCCCCCGCTCCGACCATTTTTTTTTACTAGTATTACTTATAATATGTTTCTTGCCCCAGCTTCTTTTTTTAAAAACAATAAGTACAACTTAAGATTATTTTAAGATTAAGTGTTAATTCTTCAATTGTTCCTAATCAGTCTATCTCCGGTGTTGGAAATGCCACTGCGTCAAATGAAAATATTGCTAGACATGAGAGGAATGAGAGGGACAAGAGAGCCCGAACAGAAAGTACACATGAATGAGATATTATTAGTGATCCATTTTTACGAAAACCAATTAATGAATATGAGCAGGGGGTTAGGGATGATGTGATGAGAGCATATGCTGTTAAAGGTGCTTGTCAACCAGCATCTCATAAGTTTTCACGAACTGAATTTGGAAAGTCATTAAGGAGCTTTCGAGGAGAGTGGTTTAAAACTTGGGAATGGTTGGAATATAGTATTTCTGAAGATGCTGCTTTCTGTTTTTGGTGTTACCTTTTTCATGGGCAAGAAGGAAAGAGATTTGGTGATGATGTGTTTGTGAGGACCGGATTCCGTAACTGGAAGAAGTCTCCTCAGTCTTGCGGAGTTGTATTCATCTGATTTTTCAGCTGTTGAGCAAATGGAGCTTAAAGAACAACTCCAAGTTTGGATATATGAGATGAGAGGGAATGAAGCATTTTCCACTTTACAAAGTATTGGTGAAGTGTCTAAGAAGATGGTTGAGCTTACAATTCACAAATCTTTTCACTTGGTCAATCGTCTTATTGAGTTGGCTCTAGTGTTACCAGTTGCAACAGCCACAGTTGAAAGAGCTTTCTCAGTGATGAATATTATCAAGACAGATCTTCGCAATAAGATGGGAGATGACTATCTTACGGATTGTTTAGTATGCTACATCGAAAGAGACATTTTTCAAGCAATTGATAATGAAGCTATTATGCAGCATTTTCAAAATATGAATCTCGTAGGATTGATTTGCCTACGTTGCAAAAGTAAATCAAGTAGCATGTAATGAACTATAATTTTTTTGCTAATTAATTACACCATTGTTGTTCTTATTATATTTTGGACACGTACTTTAAAATTTTTAGTCTTCAGTTTGCCCCTCCTTGGACAAACCTCTGGCTCCGCCACTGGGTCACTCGGTGGCGGCGCGTGGTAGTTGAGCTGGATATATAGTGGAAGTAACAGAAAGTTGCTAGATAAAAGTCATTGGGCTCTAGTGATCATTGTACTTAATGTCGCGGGTCATTGCACGTGATCGGGGCCGGGTCATTGTGACGAATGGGTGAGTGATACTGGCGAGCCAAGTATTTCACTGGATGGTCGGGTATGTAGATCACTACAGGCACGACTACACGAGGTATTGGTCACTGCGGGACGGAGTTACTGGGGCATTTATCATGGCAGGCCGGAGTTACTAGGGCATTGATCAATGTACTACTGGGTGTTGTCTAGGTTAAGCGGGATAGCATTAGTAAGGTGTAATGGTCCAGTTATATCCTTAGTTACTAGGGCATTGATCAATGGTACTCTTTTTGGATTTTTAAAAAATAGACTTATTTTTATATCCTTAGTTTCTCCATTTATATTTTTGTTCAAAATCCCTAGCTAAAAACTAGTCTTTTTGCTACACAATTCTTAATGTGTTGGTACAATATTTAATTCTGGTGTACAATGTCTTGCTTTTAATCAACCATGGACATAAACAGGCGTTTAAAGTGATTGTTTGCTAAGTTGAGTCCTATCATTGGTTTTGGTTTTTGAAAGAATGAGTCATATCATTTGTATGAAAGTTATCAGCGGTACTAAATTTTTGTTCCACTACAAATGGTTTTATTGGCATACATAAACCACCATATTTAATAATATGTCAAACATTGGTTCTTTATCTTTCCAACATTGTTACATATCAAAGTCAGTCACCTCATCCATACTCACATTCTTTATATCATATTCACAGTGACATACTTCGTATTACATAGAAAGAAAGTTCATTAATTGAACTTTGTGCAACAAAAAAAAGTAATCTCCCCCCCAACAAATTCCTATGCTTCTAAATATGTCATTCTCCTTAACGAGATGAATAAAGATCTTTCAGGGGGTGGGGTGGGGGTATTACAATATTATAGGTGAAATAAAAATAAATTATGAAATAAATTACTAATATCAGAAAATTGCGTTCGATCATACACCATTGAAATAATTATAAGACTACGTAATACTCTAAAAACCCACAACTAACAAATTTGAAACGAGGATCTAAAATAAAATCAATGACAAAAATATAGAGATTAAATGCATTTTCAAGAACTTTGTTTTCATATGATAACATTAATTAGGTAAAAGCTCCAATACTGCATAATAGCTCACTAATACAGGCAGCGACACGATCATCCCCAAAATAACTCTGAAAAACAATAAAAAATATTAAGAAATAAACAAGCTAGATGATAAAAAGATGGATATTATGATAAGAAAAATAAATGTACCGGCCAGGAGTGTGAGTAGTTTAATCGTGTCAAATAGAGAATTGAGAGAATTTGTGAATTGCACTTACGCTGTGCTAAGGACATTTGCATGAAGCCCATATTGAACTGCAAATATGAAGGAGGTGATGGATTGTGGTAACGCCGCCTACAACAAAGTTAATTAATTAAATTTGAAGACAACTCAATTGGTCATAAGTGAATATTTACATCAATAGGTTAAGATTGAATTCAACCAACGTCAACGACTCAATGTCAGAGCACCCTCTCAAGTGAGGGGCTCTTTGAGGCTAATTGACAAACTAAGAATTCTCACATCCAGCTTAAGGGTGTTTGGCTCTATTTCATAAAATTGTTTCCACTCCTTCAAGGAGCTAGCAAAAACATATATTAGAGTGTTTGGATGAAAGTGTACAAGTGCTTGTGAATGCTCTTAAGGGAATGTTTGCAAGAACATGGAAGAATACTTTTAAGTTTTTGCCTTTAAAAAAGACAAAGTTTGTGTTTTCAAGTGACAACATTCTGCTTAAATTAAGCACTTAAAAGGTAAAAGTTGGAAGCAGGTTGAGAGATGTTTTAAATTGTTTTTCACTTTTTCTATTACAAAAAAAACTTATTTTATACCAACTTTTACTTTTCACAAGCACATTTGTCTCCAACACTACAAACTTTGAATATTAAACGTAACACCTTTTCCAAAAATCACTTTAAAAAATCACCTTAAAGTAGAAATAATCACAAACACTCATTTAATTGTTCTTAGAAACAGTTTTCTAGAAGTTGGGGAGACCAGTTTATAAAGAACTTGTAATTTTTTTTCTTCTTTATAAAAAGAAATAAAAGCAAAATCAAACTCCAATTAACAACAAAGTTGACAAAAGATGGTTGAGATGGGTCTCGTTGACTAGAATTCTGAGCTAGGACTTAAAAGTACCTGGATTATGGCAATTCGCAAGACATTCCCGCGGAGGCCAACCGCAATAGAAGCTAGGGCCATGGCGGCGGGCCCTACTATGAACTTCAACGCCATCCCAAGTAACGTCAAACGCCCACCGCACGCTATCACTTTATGTTGCAATGCCATGAATAAGCCTGCATGCGCCCGGCCATTTAATTAAATCACGCCAACAAAAAAATTTCTTCTTAATTATACTAAACCATATGAGTAGGAATTCTATCAAAAATAATAAGACCACACATTTCTTACTCGTCAAAATTTGATAAAATTCTTATTTCAAATATAATTCAAGCTCAATTTGTCGTTAGGTAGTACGTAATTTAAGTTCTGAAGATTGCTTAAAGGAAAAATACATTTATACACAACAAAATACTCCGTATATGGATGTGCTCATGTGCATTACTCCATTGGACATATACAAGTTGACGTGTATACCAATAATTAGGTGTTAGTATATTGTAGATTGATCCTCTTTGGAAGATCTACCATGATATCATTAAACTATAAAGTACGTAGTATTTGGAATTAGTCCATCCGACATAAATTGTTGGTTGATCGAGGAAAGTCTTTTCCTTATACTTTTCTATCTCCGGCCTTTTTCATACTAGTATATTTCTATCATTTATATTGTCTTCTACTTTTACTTGTTTAATTTTACTCAAACTTCAAAATAATATGGTTGCAAGCAAATGCATTTTAAGCCCTATATGTTTTCGAACAGTTTTTATTTGAACCATGTTGTCATGTTTGAACATTTCATATCTTATTGCTTAAATCTTCTAAAATATATACGCAACCGATCGGAAATACGAAGTATATCTTACCCATGCTAAACATGGTCGCGCCAGTGTGTGCCCTCGACATAACAAGTACCGAACCTTCTATTAGGCTTGGCATTCCGATGTGCCACCTACAATTCAACTATAGATTGCATCAATACAAATAATCACATGCATTTTCAAGATATATTTGTACTTTCTCCGTTCTTTTTTAATTGCAACGGTCAACATTTCACACTTGCCAACACACATATTTGACCGTAATTATATCTTAATCTCTATTAGTTAAAAATAATTAAAAATCAGATTTCGAAAATTTGTAATGAGATGAATTGAACAATCACTACCATAAAAACACGGGATTGGCAGGGATTTTGGCAGAGATTATGCCAAATCCGTGCCAAAAAACTTTGGCACGAGCTATTTGGCACGAAAAATCGGTAATCCGTGCCAAATTTCCGTGTCAATCCCGTGTTTTTTTGTAGTGAATACGGAGTATCTTTTTTAAAAAATAATTTTCGTAAAATAATACCGTAAAATGTAGTCAAAGTAGAATACGTGAATAGTGTAAAATTCAACATGTTGCGATTAAAAAGAAACGGAGGATAGTATATAACTTATAATTTTATACGTTTATAAAAATGATTAGTTAGGAATTTTTTGATATATAATTTTCATATTGAAAATAACTACGTATTATAAATATCATCGATCAAAGTTGGTTACCATTGAAAAAAGCTTAATTCGACAAACCTTTTTGAGATGGAGGAGTACTATTTTCGTCTCACTAAAGATGTTTTTATTTGGACTGTAATTTGCTGATTTGGTCTGATCTGGTCTGGTAATGTCCGGTCTTTTGTATTTTTACAACTATCCAAGTCTGATTTGGTCTGATCTGGTCTGGTCTAGGACTAATTACAGTCCAAGTAAAAACATCCTAACATTCTTCCAAAAGGAGGTGGTGCGTTTATTACGAAAAATAGGTTTCTATGATTCTATGATTAATATTATATTGATAAAAAGAATGATTTAGAACCATATAAGTTTTACCAAATTTGGTATGAGACAATTTTAATGGGAGTGACCGAAAATTTGGTATAAGATTTTGTCATATTTTAGTCATATGACAATCTTAGCTGGGGCAAAAAGGTAATACGGAGTAACTTTTAGTCATATGTTTGTAAATATTTTGTATTTCATTAATATTTTTTTGAAAGAAACTCCTTTTATTATACATATCTCTTCAAAATAAGAAAAGATCACACGACAATAATATTTACTCCTTTCGTCTCAAAATAGTTTGTTAAATTGATTTTCTTGATCAATGATAGACAACATTGACCAACGATCGATACTTTAATATGAAATTATTTTGAATATGAAAATTGCTTAAAATGTTTATTAAAAATATATTTATAAAAAAAAAATTTGTAGTAAAATTTATAAATAATACACAAATATACTCGTGGGAGTAATTAAAATCCTTACTCAAACATTGTCATGATTGGTTAAGAAAATTTGGTTTTGTACGACTATACCTATTAGAGACAAATGCCCAAAGTATCCCACCAACACATCCATACGTGTTAGGATTAGTAGCCACTTTGAAGCAAACAACACTCATCACCCGCCATAACGAAGCCGGCTCCGCCGCCTTCTTCCCATTTCCCTCCAAATCTTCGCCGCCGGCACCGTCCACGACCGCCGCAACTGAGTTAAGGTCGTTCTTCGTTTGCCACAACTCCAAGACGAACAGAAGCAGAGTGACCCAAACGACGCTCTGAATGACCGACGACTGGACGATCAGGTCAACCGCCGCCAGGCCGTACATGGCTTTGACCAGCGGCACGCCTATGACGAGACCGTTGTTCAGGGTGGAGAGAGAGAAGGCGGTGATGAAGCGGCCGAGGTTCCCACTGCTGCTGCACCGGGCCCACGCCGCCAGAACGGCGACGATGATAGCCTTGGAGACGGCGTCAGCGGCGGCGAACTTGCCGTTCATCGCGAATGGATCGACGTGGACGGTGAACTCGAAGGTGAAGAGCGGGAGGGTGAAGTAGGTGACGAAGCGGTTGACGGCGTCGTACTGCTCCGCCGTGAAAATGCGCCACCATTTCACGGAGGCGTAGCCAAGAAACAAGGCCACGTAGAGTGGCATCACCGCCACGACCACATTGTATACATTTTCCCACCCAATCATTGATTAAGGTATAAAAGTATACTGCGTATATTAGGAAAACTTATATACAGATCAGAGTACGTATATATATATGTGTGTATATATTTCCAAGTTCCAACAGCTAGCTAACTCACCTTATAAGCACTTACGTGCGCACGAATTGAAGAGCATCTCGAATGCGATTCAAAGTATGACAAGGAATCTTATGTCAACTCTTTTAATGTATAAATTGTGCGAGTAAATGTTTAAATGGGTAAGATATTGTGCGGTCAGTAATGATTAAACACTACGTACTAGCTATTACTCCTGTGTTTCTTATCAAAATAAAACTTGTTACTAAACATCTTTGAAAAATATTGTCTTAAAATACGTAGTACTTTTTACACAGATTAAGAAAATAAATTTGAATTTACTGTGGAGTGCACTGTTTTGCACTGTTTAAACACTATTTGACACTGTTTGACACTTTTTTGATGTAGATCATGTTGGAAAAATGTGTGAAAAATTGCATTAAATGGCTATTTTGGGGCAATTTTTTGAGTGGGGTCCACTTCCGATTTGGGTCGGGTCAAAGTGGTTTCGGATTGTCCTTGTTAAGGGCTACAATTCGATATATGGTACGCTCAAAACGGATAAGGGTGAATGAGAAATCGCTTTTCGAAGTTTACCCGTTAGAATGGAAAAACTGGGAAAAAGGATGAGTTTCTAGTATTAATTTCCCACACTGGAAAACCCAAGGGATTTGCAACCCTTTATAAAGGGACTCCCCCCTTATGGAGTTAAGGTTCATAAGGGTAAAGGCTCTCTCCACGCGCGCAGGGGGTGGGGGTGGGGGTGGGGGGGGTGCAAATCAAATCCCGAATTCGGAGAAGAAAAACCGCGACTTGCGTGCGCGGGGCGACCTTTGGACACGAATGTCGTCCAAAAATCCATCTCTCAAGAGATACGGGTTATTTTTGTTTTCTTCCCGAAACGTATATTTTTTCCCAGTTAACAGAAGGCAAGGCTTCGATCAGAGATGGGGTACTCTGATGGCCGCGGATCAGAGATGGGGTATTCTGATGGTCGCGGATCAGAAACCCTCACAGGGGTCTTCTGATTGGCCTCCGATCAGAACCCCTCCCAGGGTGTTCTGGTGGAGGTCTTCTGTCGCGCTTCTGAAACGTTACAACAATTAATGCCCAACGTTCTTATCTTTTAATGTAGCGTTAAATGGACAGTTCATGGACGATTCAATGCCCAACGGACTGGTCATTGATGTCCAACGTTCAGGTCCATTAATTCACCATTTACACACAACAAATCCTCCTATATAATGGTTGGCAGGTGGTTTGCAACAACACACGATTTTACACGAATCCATACACGTTTTAGCTCTAAAAACACACTGCTAGCATTCTGAAAAATTCCTGAGTGTTCACACTTGCTCTCGTTCGCTGGAACTTTTGTTTGTGTGCTCAAACATTAGTTTGTAGTCATCGTATCCTGGGAAACGATTGTTGCAACGCTCCTAGCACCGTGGGAGGCAACAAATACGTTTTAAGGACATCGTGCGTAGCACGAGCTTTGACTAATTCTGCTTCATCTCCTTTCTTGTTTTTCTCTTGTCATTTTATTTTAATTAATTTTCTTTATTTTCCGAAACACACCCAACAGATCATTTGCCAAATAAGGAAGGTTTTGAAGTGTGAAGTTAATTTCGGGACTGCCCGAAAAGGAAAGTGAGAAGTTAATTTTGGGACGGAGGGAGTAGTTATATTTTTTTTTACATATACACTCACAATATACATAAAAATACTTAAACATAAAATCACGAAAATAATCAAATATAAAAAATATTTTAATATTTGTAGGCTTATTTAGTGGTTGACCCAATATAATGAGATTTTCGCTAATGAGTTAGCGCTCTAGGTTCTCTATGAGTTCACTAATATACATATAACATACCCCGAATATATTGTATAGTTCATACAGAGTAATGAATAGAACAACATTTTGCTTATTTATATATATGATCTCTTCCAACATAAACATTTTTTTGTTATATACTCCGTATTATATTTGTTCGCAATTTTGCATATGTCATTTAGTTTTTTTTGCGGGTATACCCGGCTCGGATCCGAGACCCGACGGATCCAAATTCGGAACATATGTTTAGGACCCGAAGGGTAAATGGGTCCGGATCTGGACCAATTTTTTCCAACAGATATGGATATGGAATTTATAGTTTCGACCCGTATCCGACCGTTGACAGGCCTAACCCAAGCAAATGAAGTGTGACAACTGGTCGAATCTACAACTAATTAACATACGAAGTATATACTACGTACTACGTATATCATAAATTTAAATTTAGGTAAGCATGTAAATCCTGCTTCCGCAGGTCGGAGTTAAATCTCGATCACAATGTTAATTACTCAAAGACAATAAAATGTGCCTCAATATTCACCCAATTATGATGGGGAAAAACAGCCACACACGGAACTAATAAAATGCGGAATTAATCTCCGTTTGGCTAAACTTTCCCCAACTTGAATGAACCTTTGAGGATGCAAACAAATAGGGTGTTCTTAATACAATTAGAACACAAAATATTGCTGCCACACACCAATATAATGAGCTAAAACAGTAAGCACACACCACACAAAAACACCGGAATTTTAGCGTGGAAAACCCGTTAACTAGGGAAAAACCACGGGACCATTTTGGCCGCTTAAATCCACTATCATCATCAAAGGAGCAGTACACAATCTTCTCTAGATAATACTAGAGGTATACAACATCATCATATCCTTGGAAGTAAGAACATCAAGGTGTATGGAATCAAATAGAGCCAAGATAAGAAAATATATCACCAGAAAATAGCTACTGTCCAGACCAACAAAACCCGACCTCCGGACCACAAAACCCGATCTCCACCGTCCAGAATATTGGCCCTGATGCTGTGAAGCTGCTGTCCAAAAATCACGACGATCCAACGGTTCAATCTCCGGGAAACGGAATTTTTCTGCTGCTGCTGCTGGAAAAACGGGATGAGCACACTTCAGCTCATGTTTTGTGATTGTTCTCACTTATCTGCTGCTCTCTTTCTGTCCATGAGTAATAGATAGATGGCAGACCCTGTTTTTAATATTAGCTCCCAAAATAGAAAGTCAAAGAAGACTTTTGATGGGCTCAAGAGTTGGGCTTTCCTCATGGGTCAAAAATAAAGAAAGAACCCAACAAATCTCCCCCTTTTTGACTTATGAGGAAGAGTTCGCCATACCGGCGATGGAGCAACATACCTTCAACTTTTCCCTTGCTAGAACCTTCGTCAACATATCGGCACCATTATCATTGGTATGAACTTTATCAAGTTCAAACAGTTTGTCTTCAAGTGCATCTCTAATCCAATGATACCTCACATCAATATGTTTGGTTCGTTTGTGAAACATACAATTTTTAGCAAGGTGAATGGTACTTTGATTATCACAAAGAACCACATAGCGTTGTTGCATAAAGCCAATCTCTTGCATAAACCTTTTAAGCCATAATAGCTCCTTACAAGCTTCTGTTGCAGCCACATACTCAGCCTCGGTGGTGGATAAAACCACACACTTTTGCAGTCTCGATTGCCATGACACAGCTCCCCCTGCAAAAGTCATCAAATATCCAGAAGTGGATTTCATGTTGTCCTTATTTCCTGCCATATCAGAATCAGTATAACCAACAAGTACTGGCTTCCTATTTCCAAATGTTATACCCAATTTGGAAGTACCACGTAGATATCTGAGAATCCACTTCACTGCTTCCCAATGCTTCTTACCTGGATTTGACAGAAAACGACTAACAACACTTACTGCATGGGCAATATCAGGCCGTGTGCACACCATAGCATACATCAAACTCCCTACAGCTGAGGCATAAGGAACTCTATCCATCTCTTCAATCTTCTTCTCAGAAGATGGGCAATCTTTATCTGTCAACCTGAAGTTGGTAGTAAGAGGTGAACTAACCTCTTTAGCTTTGTCCATGTTGAATCTGCGAAGCACCTTCTCAATGTATTGCTCCTGTGACATGTGTAGCTTCTTCAAAGCTCTATCTCGAGTGATCCGAATGCCAAGAATCTGTTTTGCTGGCCCCAAGTCTTTCATAGCAAAAGACTTGCTCAATTGCATCTTCAGCTGAGTAATTCTTTCTGCATTCTTGCCAACAATTAACATGTCATCAACATATAACAATAAAATAATGAAATCATCATCATCAAACCTCTGGAAGAAAACACAATGGTCTGAAGTAGTCTTTCGGTAATTTTGCTCCCCCATAACTGACTCAAACTTCTTGTACCACTGTCTTGGTGCTTGCTTCAACCCATAAAGACTCTTTTGAAGTCTACACACATAACCTTCTTTTCCCTTAACCTGAAACCCTTCAGGTTGCTCCATGTAGATTTCTTTATCCAAGTCACCGTGAAGGAAAGCTGTTTTGACATCCATCTGTTCAACCTCAAGATCAAGGCTGGCTGCCAAACCCAGAACAACACGAATAGATCCCATCTTCACGACCGGAGAGAAAATCTCATCAAAATCAATACCCTTTCTCTGACTGAACCCTTTGACCACCAATCTAGCCTTGTACCTAGGTTGTGAGGTGTGCTCTTCAGTCTTCACTTTGTAGACCCACTTGTTCTTCAAAGCTCTCTTGCCTTTAGGCAACTTCACCAACTCAAATGTATTATTTTCATGTAAGGAATTCATCTCATCTTGCATGGCTTCAACCCACTCCCTTTTATGCTCATCTTCCATGGCCTCTGCATAACACTCAGGCTCTCCCCCATCAGTGAGTAAGACATACTCATTAGCTGAAAAACGGGTGGAAGGATGACGATCTCTTGTAGACCGCCTAAGTGGGACAAATGGTGGCACGTCTGGTACTGGTATCTCTGAATGAAATTCTTCATCCACCTCTGGCTGTTCTGGAACATCAGTATCATGTTGTTCATCATTCTGAACATCATTATCAAGAGGTGGTTCTACATGCTGAGGAGGCACTGGATCCAAATCAGTAACATCATCATTATGTTGAGGAACTGTATCTTTCTTCTCAGCATCTTTCAAGGTTTGATCTTCCACAAACACAACATCTCGGCTTCGAATAAGTTTCTTGTGGACTGGATCATATAATCTGTAACCAAACTCATCTTGGCCATAACCCAAGAAAACACATGGTTTGGACTTCACATCAAGCTTTGATCTTTCATCTTTAGGAATGTGCACAAAAGCTTTGCATCCAAAGACCCTCAAATGACGGTAAGAAACATCTTTGCCACTCCAAACCCTGTCAGGTACATCAAAAGACAAAGGAACACAAGGAGTTAGATTAATAACATGTACCGCTGTATTCAAAGCTTCTCCCCAGAATGAATTTGGCAGCCCTGCATGTGACAACAAACATCTAACACGCTCCATCAAAGTTCTGTTCATCCGCTCTGCTAATCCGTTCAGCTGCGGTGTCTTGGGAGGACTCTTTTGATGTCGAATACCATGATCTCTACAATAAGCATCAAAGGGGCCAATGTATTCCCCTCCATTATCTGTCCGAATACACTTGAGCTTCTTTCCAGTCTGTCTCTCAACCGAGGCATGAAACTGCTTAAACACCTCAAATACTTGATCTTTAGATTTCAAGGTATAAACCCATACCTTTCTGGAGTGATCATCAATGAATGTGACAAAGTAGGAGCAACCACCAAGTGTCCTAGTCTTCATAGGACCACAAACATCAGAATGCACCAAATCAAGTATACTCTCCTTCCTGGAAGGAGGATGGCTCTTAAAGGAAACCATGTTCTGTTTACCTGCCAAACAGTGAGAACACTTCTTTAGATGAATATCATGCACACCCGGTAACACATTTCTCTTCAACAAAAGAGACATCCCCTTTTCACTCATGTGACCAAGTCTCTTATGCCATAAATCAGTCATGTCAGTGTTCACCACAGCATTGACCCTATCCTTGAAGATCTTCGGATGTGTCATGTACAACTTTGAGCATCTTTTACCTCTAGCCACGATCAAAGAACCACGAGTGAGTTTCCATATTCCATTACCAAAGTTGTTGCTGTAACCATCATCATCAAGTAAGCCTGCGGAGATCAAATTAAGTCTCATATCTGGAACATGTTTTACATTATGTAAAACCAACTCTATCCCAGTGTCAAACTTCAAACAAATATCTCCGATGCCTGCAATCTTTGATAGTCCATTATTACCCATCCTAACATTACCAAAGTTACCTGGAGTGTAAGATGAATAAAAATCCCTCTGTGATGTTACATGACAAGTAGCACCACTATCAACAACCCAACTGGAATCATCATGTGCAATGTTGACCATATCAAGATCAGAACAAATAAGGAACTCATCGGTAGCACTGTTAACTTCAGCATTGCCATTACCACCCTCATCTTTCTTATGGTTCTTTTGATTGTTGTAATCGCTCTTCTTCTTCTCCTTTTTCAATTGCCTGCAGAATCGTATTGTGTGCCCTTTTCTACCACAATGATAGCACTCAAAATCAGCAAACTTTCCTTTGGATTTACTTCGATGCTTCCCTTTGTTACCTGGACCTCTACTTTGACTTCTCCCCCTGCTTTCTGTAACTAAGACATCAGAATGTGAAGAGGAACCTTGTGACTTTCTTCTCATCTCTTCATTTAAAACACTGCCTTTAGCTAATTCCATGGTGATAATACCATCTGGTGCAGAGTTGGACAATGATGTCCTAAAAGTCTCCCATGAGTCCGGTAAAGTGCCAAGGAGCCACAAGCCTTGTATCTCATCTTCAAACTTGATACCCATTCCTGCAAGTTGATTTATGATTCCCTGAAAAGAATTCAAATGATCAGTGACAGGAGTTCCATCATGGTATTTCAAGCTCATCATCTGTTTAATTAAGAACAATTTATTGTTCCCGGTCTTTCGAGCATACAACTGTTCAAGCTTGTTCCACAAACTGCGAGCATGAGTTTCCCCGCTAATATGGTTCAAAACATTATCATCAACCCATTGGCGAATATACCCACAAACCTGTCTATGCAAAATATTCCACTCTGCATCTGTTTTACTCTCAGGTTTATCAGTAGTAAACACAGGCAAATAATAATCCTTCACATAAAGTAGGTCTTCCATTTTGCCTTTCCAAACATGATAATTAGAACCATTCAAATTGATCATCCTACTTGTGTTTGCTTCCATCATTCAAACAAGTCTAACCCAATACAGAAGAACTCGGCTCTGATACCAATTTGATGGGGAAAAACAGCCACACACGGAACTAATAAAATGCGGAATTAATCTCCGTTTGGCTAAACTTTCCCCAACTTGAATGAACCTTTGAGGATGCAAACAAATAGGGTGTTCTTAATACAATTAGAACACAAAATATTGCTGCCACACACCAATATAATGAGCTAAAACAGTAAGCACACACCACACAAAAACACCGGAATTTTAGCGTGGAAAACCCGTTAACTAGGGAAAAACCACGGGACCATTTTGGCCGCTTAAATCCACTATCATCATCAAAGGAGCAGTACACAATCTTCTCTAGATAATACTAGAGGTATACAACATCATCATATCCTTGGAAGTAAGAACATCAAGGTGTATGGAATCAAATAGAGCCAAGATAAGAAAATATATCACCAGAAAATAGCTACTGTCCAGACCAACAAAACCCGACCTCCGGACCACAAAACCCGATCTCCACCGTCCAGAATATTGGCCCTGATGCTGTGAAGCTGCTGTCCAAAAATCACGACGATCCAACGGTTCAATCTCCGGGAAACGGAATTTTTCTGCTGCTGCTGCTGGAAAAACGGGATGAGCACACTTCAGCTCATGTTTTGTGATTGTTCTCACTTATCTGCTGCTCTCTTTCTGTCCATGAGTAATAGATAGATGGCAGACCCTGTTTTTAATATTAGCTCCCAAAATAGAAAGTCAAAGAAGACTTTTGATGGGCTCAAGAGTTGGGCTTTCCTCATGGGTCAAAAATAAAGAAAGAACCCAACAAATTATCCAGCTCGATTGAAGGAATATTTATGTATTCATCAATCCATGCATGCATTGCATATTTGCATATATGCAGAGTTTGGCAAACATTAGATGCTTAAGCAATCAAAATTGAATCGATACATACAACTGTTATAATAGAGCGGAAATACAAATATAATGGGCCCATACATTTTTTTAAAGAAATTGTTCCAGATTCGGTCAAATAAGTAAGGGTGGGAAAATGGTTCGGTTTAATAATTGAATCAAGCCATACCAAGAATTAAATCAAATTGAAACTGAATTATATGGAATTTAGTTTAAATTTGATGACAATTCTCTCGAACGTATTAAACCAAACCGAATTGAAACCAAGAAAAATTTAATAAATCAGAACCGAACTAAAAATATTCAATAAAATCTTCATTTACTCCGTATTTTTTATAAACAAAAAATCCAAACTGAATCAACTAAAATGAATTGAACAAAACCGGAGTGTAGTATGATTTTTGTTTGGTACTCATTCTTCCAATCTATTTCCATTAAACCGCAAACAGATAAAAACCGAACTAGGCCTGATATGCCCACCCTACAAAATAGTATGAACACTTCCATGTAATAATAATATTGGTGGCGGTGGCAATAGAGGTGGTGGCGATGTTGATGTAGTCCTGGACTCGGACCGGGCTGGGCCAGGTCGGGTCCAGGCCTAGGCGGGCCGCCGGTTCTAAATAGGTGGCCAATTTTTTTTCCCTTTTTCTAATTAACCCCCCCCCCCCCCCCCCTCACCCCAAACCACCCCAAATGGCCCAAAATACCCATCCCAACCCGAAAAGTTCAAAAAATTGAAAAAATAAAAAGCCTGGAACCGGGCCCGAACCAGCCAGGCCGGGCCTACCGAGACCGGTCAGTGGCCGGGCCACCGGGCCGGGCCGGTTCAGCACAGTACCAGTCCCAGGCCGGTTCTGGGTCGGGCCACCCGGCACGAGTCCAGGACTATGTTGATGGTGCTGACGATGATCATAATAATAATGATAATAATAATTCAAAATAATGACTAAATCTAATCAGAAAGTTTTAGACAAGATCAAAAAAATCAAATAAAAAAGATTCAGATTAAATTAGAAAAAAATCAGATTAAATAAAAAAGATTTTGATCAGATCAATTCAAAATTCAAATCAAATCAAACCAGATTTTAAAAAACACAGATTAGGTGAATAGAACAGCTTATATGTTATACTCATTTAAGTAAAGTGTACAACATGAAATTCATTTCAGTACTTCACAGTTCACTCATGGGAAACACATCACAAAGTTATCATCTAATTTGGCATCCTTCAAAAAATCCCAATTTGGGTTAAGTTTTAGAATTGAGCATTTGAAGGATATTTGGGATCACAAGAACCCTCCAAAAACATCCCTTTCAAAATTTTAAACTCCCAATAAAAAAGAGAGGGTCATATACCCCTCAACCTTCCTCTCCTCTCTAAAACCTAACTCTCAAACATACCTTTAATTGCCCACATGACGAAAGCATTATATTAGATAATTAGGTCGACATATCATTGCAATGACGTAGAGCCTAAAGCGCCCCAAATAAGCAGATGACTGTCAAACACCCTACTACCCTGGTGCTTCATTCAAAAGGTTTTGATTCAAGATTTGCTCAAGAGGGGGGGGGGGGATGGGGGGATGGATGGGGGGGGGGGGGGACGAATCATGGTCAGACGAGATCTAACCAGGTTCTAAGCGTTAAACGGTCGTGTAGGTGATCAAGAGTTTTTCTGATTTTTTACAGCAATGCCGTGAAGTAACACAAATCCCAAGAATTCATCAAAGATCAATCCCACTCAATTTACAAAATGTATGTGCAATTCATCTGTAGAAATTCTACTACAGATCCTAGTCTACTTCTACAAGTGTATTTTTGAGCTACTAAAGTGCAGAGCATAATACTGCTCTTCCAAGTACAAACTGAAACTCAATGCTGATCAACATTAAACAATACAACAACAGCATCCAAGGATTCCAAGCCTTAGTCCCAAAAGATTTTGGGGATCAACATTAAACAATGAATGTAAACAAATATTAGAAATATCATACCCAGTACATTTTTTTGAATGACCATATGGCTTCTGAACCAAATTCTCAAGTAACCCAGCCAATCATCAAAGTTTAGAAATTCTTTTTTTACCTTCTCTATGAGCATCTTCAAGCCAACCTTGATCATTTGTGTGCAGAGATGCCATGGCTGCTGCTTGTTGAAGGCAACTCTTGTTCTGATAGAGCATTAAGTGTTAACTGTGCAGCAATTAACTTCTCTCTCAGTATGGCATTGTATTTATAAAGATTTTCAATATTTCTCTGGAGATGACTCAAACTCATTTGCTCGGAAGCATGAAATTCTGTGAACAGTGATGAGCAATCAATTAATCACAGGCTCCGGAAGAATCCGTGAAGGAGATGAAGAAAAATAATCGCACCTAAAGGCCTGTAAGGAGGAGGCTTTGGAGGGCTTGGTCCATATCTTCTTATACAATAGAGATTTTATAAAACAAGAAAGATTTAGATAACATGTGATTGTATAAAACGTAGATAACATGTGATTGTATAAAACGTTTCAATCATACGTAGTATTTTATTTTGTTTAAAACTATTCTATTCAGCAAGATATGAACTAAAACCATCCAAAGTCATCTTCTCCAAAGTCCATACCTTCCATCCAAACAGACCTGAAGCAAACAAGTTAACACGGATGCCAATTTTTAAATGAAAGGGTTATCCTTGACCATTTCGCCATAACTGCTCACAAACCACCTAGTGCTTTACTGGGGAAAGTGGGAAGAGATGGAAACCATTGTCTTTTAGTTTAACTATTAAAACATACCTAATGAAGGAAGTGATGGAAGATCTAAATCACCACATGCATGTTGCAAGGGAATACTGCTGTCATGCTTTCCATCTTTGACACGAGGTAAAGTATCTTCCTGAAACCGAAAAGCACAAAAATCTTTATGTTAATTCCTAGAATGTGCAGGAAATTTAACTTAAGGATTGTTGAATACAAGAAAAGGAAGGCCATGAAGATTTTGGATGTAGTGATGTGATTCGAAAATCCAACATATCCGTTATTATGAAACTAGCTAGTTTGACAACAAAATCAATCCACCGAAATAACAGGCAAGATAGCAATCACATTAACTGACAGAATTGAAACAACAGTAGTTTAAACACAAATATTTAAAAGCTTAACTGTTGAACCATCATTAAAACGACAGCAAGGATTCGTTAAAAAAAATCCAAGGAGAAGAGTAGGGAAACTACCTGTTGGGCATTTAAGGATGAGCTTTTTTCCTCGTTAGATGTTGGATGTGCCCCCTTCTGAAGAATACCATTCTCCTCCAGGATGGTTTGCTGCAAAAGTGCAAAAATAACCCAAGCATCCAAATTTTAAAAAATCCAGTTTGATATTTCAACACACCTTTTGGAGGATAAAGTATATAACAATAAGAAAGCATGATGTGTCACCTTATTTCCCAGAAATCTTTCCTTTTTGCTGAAACTTAGGGTACTTAATCCCCTTTTCCCTCTTTGTTTGTGTAATGACCCCTTATAATGCAATGCAACACCAGTACAACACCCATCATCTCTAACATTGTTATCGATATCTCCCAATGATCCCAAGTATGTGTACATCACATACTTCCTTACCTGTATGATGAAAAAATTAAATATATAAAACTAAATGTGGGATGAGAAGAGAAAACCAGGAGATTAATTTAAAAATATTGACAGCATAAACACAGTTAAAAGAAAACCCATGCTTATATTTCAATATCATATTCTATTTTTTCCAAAAAAATACTAACGGTGTGTCCTTGTTCAAAAAAAAGTAATGGGACCCAAACAAAATTATGTTGGACCCTACATGGCGGTGGGCATGCCTGTGTAGTGGTAAGTGTGCCTAATCGGGTTTTCTTAAAGGCACTCCATTATACCTACATTAAAATATACTTCTTCAATTTTTTATTAGTTGATGTTTTAGGAATCAGCACTGCAATTAAGGAAAATTAATTGGGAAAAAAACTACAAGAACAAGCACAATAATTAAGAACATAAGCAATGAAAGCTTGAATTTTGAGATCGGTACTAATGGCAATTCATTCGAATGAACATACCTCTCCGGCTCTTCCTCATTTATTACTTTAGGATTAGAACTAATTATACAAGAAAAAGGGCCACTTTCTTATTCAATACTCCTCAAACACTCTCTAATAAAAAAAACGGAACCGAAATGCTACAACATCAATTTATTAAAAGGGAGGGAGTATCAAATAACCCACCTTGCCCCAGTGATCTTGGGCTCTTCTACGACTTCGAATCCTTTGCATCACACTGTCTTCATTACGTAGTTTCTTGATTCTGCTTTCACACTATAAAGTACAAATTATAGAAGACATGTATGGGGAAGAATATGTCATTATCATTGTTCATGTAGGTTTTAGGAATATAATTTCCTTGAATAATAATGCCAATCGGCCAGGGTATTTATACAAATATACAAGCAACTAATCAGCTAATTTAGATCCTAAAAAATAGGATCTTGATTGCTACGTGATTATCTCTAATTTACAGCTAGTATTCTAATCCATTCGGCTAACTAAGTACACAAAAATTAAATCATGTAACATTTTCTACAATAATGTAACATTTTCTACACTCCCCCTCAAGTTGGTGAATATATATCATACATTCCCAACTTGTTTATAAGCAGCTCGAACACAGGTTTAAATAACCCTTTGGTGAGGATGTCAGCTGTTTGGTCTTTGGTAGATACAAATGGTGTGCAAATAATTCCAGCCTCTATCTTTTCCTTAATGAAGTGCCTGTCCACTTCAATATGCTTAGTTCGATCATGTAGTACAGGATTATGAGCAATGCTTATAGCTGCTTTATTATCACAATACAACTTCATAGGCAGTTCCATCTCCATCTTCAGTTCTGCCATTACTCTCTTGATCCAGAGTAATTCACATATTCCATTGGCCATAGATCTGAATTCTGATTCTGCACTACTTCTAGCAACCACATTTTGTTTCTTACTTCTCCAAGTTACTAAGTTTCCCCATACATAGGTACAATACCCAGAAGTAGACCTCCTGTCAGATATGGAGCCAGCATAATCTGCATCAGTATAGGCTTCAATTGTTCTACTGATTCCCTTTTTGAAAAATAATCCTTTCCCTGGGCAGCTCTTCAGGTACCTTAGAATTCTGTAGGTAGCATCAAGATGTTCCTGGAAAGGATTATGCATAAACTGGCTCACCATGCTTACTGCAAATGCAATATCTGGCCTTGTATGTGCCAGATATATTAGTCTTCCCACTAATCTTTGATATTGGTGAATATCAACTGGGATTTCCTCTTTGACATCTCCCAACTTCTGACCTGGATCAATTGGAGTGTCTGCTGGTTTGCATGCACTCATCCCAGTTTCCTGCAGAAGATCTAAGATATACTTCCTTTGTGAGACAACAATACCCTTTTTTGATCTAGCTATCTCCATTCCCAGAAAGTATTTTAAATCTCCTAGGTCTTTTACTTCAAATTCATGGGCAAGCTTTTCTTTTAAATTCTTAGTCTCTGTATGATAATTTCCTGTGAGGATAATATCATCTACATAGACTATCAGTATTGCAATCTCCCCCTTGTCTGAAAGCTTCATGAATAATGTATGATCAGATTGAGCCTGATTGAATCCTTGTTTCTTAACAAATTTTGTGAATCTGTCAAACCAGGCTCTTGGAGACTGTTTAAGTCCATATAGAGCTTTCTCTAATTTGCATACCTTTGCACCATACTTATTCTCAAATCCAGGAGGAGGTTTCATATACACTTCTTCTTCAAGCTTTCCATTTAAAAAAGCATTCTTTACATCCAACTGTTGCAGTGGCCAGTCTAGATTAGCAGCAAGAGATAAGAGAATTCTTACAGTGTTCAACTTTGCAACTGGTGCAAAGGTTTCTGTGTAGTCAATGCCATAGGTCTGTGTGTACCCCTTAGCAACTAACCTCGCCTTATACCTCTCCAGACTTCCATCTGCTTTGAACTTAGGAGTGAAAATCCACCTGCAACCAACAGTTGGTTTGTTTTTAGGTAACTCTACAAGTTTCCATGTCTGATTCTTTTCAAGAGCCTCCATCTCCTCCAAAACAGCTTTCTTCCACTCAGGTTTAGATAGAGCATCCTGTATAGTTGAAGGAATAGAAATAGAAGAAACACTAGAAGTAAATGTTGCAAAGGATGAGGATAATTTAGAATAAGAGACATGGTTTGAGATAGGGTATTTAACACATGTTCTTCTTTCTTTTCTGAGGGCAATTGGGAGGTCAAGCTGACTAGAAGTATTACCTTTTTCACTCCTTGTCATTGAGTCAGAATCATGGACAGTGGCAGGTTCTTGGACTTCCTCTACTCTTTGATTTTGGACTCTTCTCTCATAAACTTTGCCAAAGAACTGACTTGTCTGTTGTTCTTTTTCAATTGGTTCAGGTGTATTTATTTCATTATTTGTTATTCCTTGATCATTTTCAGATGTAATATCATCTAGATTAATATCAAGAAAATTAAGGTTTTCATGGATATGTGGTAAAGTTTGAACATCTTCTCTTAAATTCTCCCCCTGAAGATGTGTATCAAAAAAAGGCTGTTCTTCCACAAAAAAGGTGTCTAGAGTAACAAACATTTTCCTGGTTATAGGATCAAAACATTTATACCCTTTTTGAGTGGAAGAAACACCTAGAAATACACACTTTGTTCCTCTGTGATCAAATTTACTTGCAGTTTTATCAGGGTTTTTTATAAACACTGTGCAACCAAAAATTTTTAGGGGAAGAGTATTAACCAGTCTAGTTGTAGGAAAGTAATGCTGCAATGAATTGATAGGACTTTTAAATCCTAAAACTTTTGATGGCATACGGTTAATTAAGTAAGTAGCATGTAATACAGCCTCTCCCCAAAGATATTTTGGTATGTTTGTAGAAAACATAAGTGCACGAGTGACTTCAAGTAAATGTTTGTTTTTTCTCTCTGCAATTCCATTCTGAGCTGGTGTATTGATACAAGAGCTTTGATGGATTATGCCTTTTTCAGCAAAAAAAGTGTTCAAGTTTTGAGAAAAATATTCACGGCCATTATCACTTCTTACCATTTTAATTTTGGTATTGAATTGAGTTTGGACCATAGCATAAAAATCCCTAAATACTTTCTCAACTTCAGATTTTTCTTTAAGCAAAAAAACCCAAGTGACCCGTGTATGATCATCAATAATAGTTACAAACCATCTCTTTCCCTTTAAAGTTGGTACTCTAGATGCCCCCCAAATGTCACTATGTACCAAAGTAAAAGGACTGGTAGGTTTATAACTGTGGGGAAGATAAGAGTTTTTATGATGTTTTGCAAGTGCACACATATCACAATGAAGCAAAGAAATATCTTTATTCAGAAACAATTGAGGAAACATCCTTTTTAGGTAATAGAAATTAGGGTGTCCTAGTCTATAGTGAAGCAAATACAACTCCTTATTATTTGAAAAAGAAACAGTTTGCAGACAAGCATTTCTTGGACCTCTTTTACTTGATTGAGTCCCTTCATCAAAGATATAGAGTCCATCTTCCTCCCTAGCACTGCCAATCATCTTCCCCGATGCTAGGTCCTGAAAAATGCAATAAGAAGGATAAAAAATAACACAACATTGTAGATCTTTAGTTAGCTGACTAACAGAAGCAAGATTGCAGGAAAGATTAGGGACATGAAGGACTTTGGATAGATTAACAGAAGAGGAAATATTAATATTTCCCATCCCTGCAATGGCTGACAAGGAGCCATCTGCAACTTTAACCTTTTTGTCCCCTGCACAAGGTTTATATGAAGAAAAGAGGTTTGAAATAGAGGTCATATGGTCAGTAGCCCCTGAGTCAATGACCCAGGTGCTTTTAGGTTTCCCAGAACAAAAAAATGAATAGGTACCATTCTGGGCATAAGAACAAGAGGAGGATTCAGATGGAGGTTTGGAATTTTTTTGAGTATTCAGAAGGTTGAGAAGTTGCTCTATCTGTTCCCTTGTGAAGGAAGGTTGTGTGAAGTTGACTTGTGAATCTTGTTGAGTCTCATTCATAGTTGCTTGTAGAGCCTTTTTCTTTCCAGCTTCTGGTGGTTTCCCATGAAGTTTCCAGCAGGTATCTCTAGTGTGCCATAATTTTTTGCAGTAGTCACACCAAGGTTTTTTCTTGTCACCACTTCTGACCACCATTGCTGATGAGTCTCCAGGATCCTCATGAGTTATTGGAGTATTATACATCACCTTCTTCCTACTATCTTCCAGTCGGATCTCAGAAAACACTTCTCTGATTGATGCCAGAGGTTTTTTTCCAAGTATCCTTCCCTTAACTTCATCTAGGTCTCTATTTATGCCTGCTAAAAACATATAGACCCTGTCATTCTCTTCTCTTTTCCTATGCCTTGCAAGATCCTTGGCACTCTCCCATTCTTCAGCCTCATAACACTGATCTAATTCTTGCCATAGAGATACCATTTCATTATAGTATGAAATGATATCCCTATTTCCTTGTTTAGATTGCCACAGTTTGGTTTTGAGTTCAAAGATCTGAGAAGAATTCTCAAGATCTGAGTAGGTTTCCTTAATAGAGTCCCATACCTCTTTTGCAGTCTTCATAAACATATGAGGTTTGGCGATTGATGCATCCATTGAACTGAGAAGCCAGGCTGTCACTAGTGAGTTTTCTGACCTCCAGGTACTGTAGCCATCTTCACCAATTTTCTTCTCTTTGATCTCTCCAGTCAGGTATCCCAGTTTGCCCTTGCCATCAATTGCTAATTTGACAGATTGTGACCACTCTAGGTAGTTTCTCCCATTCAATCTATGGCCAGTGATGAGCATAGATGAATTAACCGTGGCCTGATAATTTGTCATTGAGCTAATATGGGGGTTACTGGTATGTGAATGAAGAGAGGAGTCAGAGTATTCGAATTCCACCATCGGAAGGTGTGACTTCAAGGCTCTGATACCATGTAGGTTTTAGGAATATAATTTCCTTGAATAATAATGCCAATCGGCCAGGGTATTTATACAAATATACAAGCAACTAATCAGCTAATTTAGATCCTAAAAAATAGGATCTTGATTGCTACGTGATTATCTCTAATTTACAGCTAGTATTCTAATCCATTAGGCTAACTAAGTACACAAAAATTAAATCATGTAACATTTTCTACAATAATGTAACATTTTCTACAGTTCATCTAGAATTAAATCTACCCTACACCAAAATGAAGACTTGGCCAGTCAATTGTAAAAACAGCATTATAGCTTTGCAGCTGCTCACATGCTGCTAGTACTGATGAAATTCGAACTATAGGAGTATAGGGACTATATAATTTTCTATCTCAGTACAGGTGCAGATAAACCTTCTAGATAGCTAAATACCAAGTCATCAAGTCAAAGTTCATGTTTAACGGTTATCTCATAGCCAGGTGACTGAATTCCAGCATGTCAACTATACCCACAACAATGGCATTTGTGGTTCAACTGCAAATAATTACTCCCTCCGTCTCAATTTGTTTTGCAAAGTCAACATTTTTTGGTCAACCAATAATAAAAGTCAACCCTCCCTATGAATAATTAATTCAATTTTTAATAATTAAAATTTACATATTCAAAAACTACATTAAAATCTCTTCAAAGTTGTAAACTCCAAAGTAGAATATAAAATTAAAAATTGACATCCTAATTAAGTGAACAAAACGAGACTGTTTGACTGAGAAAAGACAAATTTGCAACTCTTTTTGGGACGGAGGTAGTATATCTAAAGAAATAACCAACCTTTTTAGCACATTTCATAAAACAGTGCAAGGGCAACAAAACATGTTAATACAAAACATGAATGGAAACATACCTGTGCCAGCAAGAAGAAGAAGATAACAATGCTGATACAATAAAGGCCACCGAGATCCGCGAGGAAGCTTACTGCATTCTTGAGGAAGGAAGTTATGTTAAATATTATAGGTAGCTCACAGAGAACCTTAAGGAATAATAATAATAATAATAATAATAATAATAATAATAATAATAATAATAATAATAATAATAATAATAATAATAATAATAATAATAATAATAATAATAATAATAATAATAATAATAATAATAATAATAATAATAATAATAATAATAATAATAATAATAATAATAATAATAATAATAATAATAATAATAATAATAATAATAATAATAATAATAATAATAATAATAATAATAATAATAATAATAATAATAATAATAATAATAATAATAATAATAATAATAATAATAATAATAATAATAATAATAATAATAATAATAATAATAATAATAATAATAATAATAATAATAATAATAATAATAATAATAATAATAATAATAATAATAATAATAATAATAATAATAATAATAATAATAATAATAATAATAATAATAATAATAATAATAATTCACATAAAAAGATGTAATTCCAATGTTCCAATTCCTTAGTTGCATAATGCTTTTACATGAATAACTAAATTACATCAAATTATAATCTTCCATTACGATTTTCATTTAAGCTAAACTGCCTAAACATAAGAGATTCCGATGCAACCACCTTTTAGTCTTTTACTGGTTGGATAAATTTTTGCACATAATACAAATGCATAACAAGATATTTGGCCACTAATTAACTCAAGAGGAACTTTGTATGCACGTAGTTACAATTTATAATGCACATATTCACTCAAAACAAAATAGATACAGGATTCAAATGATTTTGAAAATATATTAGCGTTCCTACAAGAAGAAAATGTTTAACTATTTACTCACTATCATCGAAATATAGAAAAAAAAACTAAAGGATATACACTGGAGACTTCATAAAGACTACTTCATACTCACCAGGTCCCATAATATTTTCATTCTCAACCTCAACAACATATGAGGACAGAAAATTGATATATAATGTTGTGTTGATGATGCCATCATTAGAATTTTGGAGTGACGACCGTAGTTGATTCACTTCATCAAAAAATGATCCAGGGAGAAATCCATGAAATAGTGGTTGGACAAGTCTCAAATTATCCATGTTCCGATAAATCCTAGGAAAAATATTGAACTGTAACATATTTGAGACTGTCCCCCTATATGTAACTGCCTTGGTGCCAACATTACTTCCATTTCTTAGAGATCCACTGACATAACTCATGTGCTTCTTATTTTCAGGATTTTTTGCAGTCAGGTTAAACTGAAATCCAATGGCAGTTGCGGGATCATTAGGAAGATCAATGAATTGCCAAGAGATAAAGGCATTGTCCCGTGTGAGTGGACAATCGGTGCATTTAAGGATAATGGTTGGTCCCTTTGTGGTGTTTATGCATAAATGGCTAGCAAAAGTTGAGAGAGGAGCAACTCTATAGTCAAGAAACCCAGGATTCCCACTTGCAACTGTCTCAAGACCTCGTAAGTGTGCACATGTCATGCTTGAAATGGTAGTAATATTAAATTCAATATCATTCATGAACACTTCTAAATCAGGTGCATTTGTTGCTCTGACATTATGCACCTCAATTGCTCTCTTGGCTATAATTTGGTAAAGCAACCTATATAGAATGCAGTAGTATAAGATGAAAAAGTTAGTCAAGAAGACTGAAAAGAATTAGCATGTATGTGAACAGGAATAAAAAAATGCAAGTATCTCTAAGGTCAAAATGGGATGTACTCACGCAGTAAATAAACCAATAAAAAGTATCCAGCTTGCGATTGAGAACGTTCCGCCAAGCTCTGTTTTTCTCTTCTTTACCACCTTCTGATCCTCCTACATTAAGATGCCCTTCTAGTTATGAAATTGAAAAATGCAGAGAAGTTCACTAAATTACTATAGTTTTCCAAAATGAAAAAAAAAAACAATGAATGATGTAGGGTAATCTAGGACAAACATGGGTAGCTCTGGACTGTTGATGACAGTCATTGGGGAAAAAAGCTAGTCAAATACTCCGTATTTAGTACCAGTCAATTTATAAATCTAGATATAAAATCAAATCCAGCAACCCTAACTGCTAAGATGAAGTTAAACTAATCGCACTATGTTATTTCTAGACACATCCATCAATTAATGCAATCGAGAATTTTTTTAATTAGTAGTAGTACAATACAAATACTTCCAGTAGATTTGGCAGAAGTAATTAAATAAAAACGAGAGTGTTAATTTGATAATGGAGAGAATGGGAATAAGACGACGCACAAGCCAATGGCGGGTGGAGAAGCAGACGTCGAGGCGGCTAATCCACCAACGGAGCTGGAACCAGAGCGAGCGACCGTCACCTAGCGGAGCTATACGAGCTAAGAAGCAGAAGACGAGCCAGAAGAGGACCAGAATGAGGGTGCCCTCAATGAACACAGCCTGCGACTCGGTGAGCTTCCTGATGGAGTCGAAATCAAATATACCGCCGGCGCGGGGGGAGATAACGGACTTGTGGTCAACGCCGGAGTCAACCTCGACGAAGTCCCAATCGCCAAAGAGAGAGCAGTTCCGGCGAGCTGCGTCGAACAAGTAGCCGGGATTGCACGCGCAGAGGGTTCCGTTGTACGGAAACGCGTGGTGCGGACACTGCATTCTCCTCTGCTTCGGCGGCGGCTTTTCGCTTTTCTACTGCAGATTGTCGTGCATTGGGAGCAGCTGGGATGAAGATGATGAGAAAAGTTACAGTCTGGAAGAAAGCGTGAAGGATCGATATTCGGTTGGGATTTGATCATATTTTAATCGGAAACGTGATACGGCGGACGGTGGGGTTTCTTGCCACTTAGGTTTAACAGCGACGCGTGATTGATTACGCGTCCTACTTTTCACTTGGCATCGTCCCTGCTGCAGTATTGTTACCATTTCCAGGCTTCTCTACAATGAATGGTGCTTATGAAATTTCTTCTTCTATCCATCTATGAAATGACATAAACTACTGTATTGAACGTGACAGGCTATATATTTTCTCATGAATTTTTTCTTGGGTCCGATTATTTTAATAAAAAGTTGGAACATTTGGAAAAACTAATAGAGATATTTTTCATTTTCAAGGATAGGAAAATTGGATGAATGAAATTTTAAAAAACGTGTTTACTTGTTTATTCTCTAAAATGGAAAAATATATGTATGTTTTTGGTTGTTTTTTAAGATGGAAAACTCACTTTTTGGTGTTTTCCTAAATGAAAATATGCAATATTACATTATGTCATGTATTTGTTTCGCGCTCGGATATCTGATCGGGTACTTTTTTAAAGCTACGTATTTTTAGATCTATGCAACACTTTTTAGTGTACTTTTTGGAGTATATTTTATTTATTAAATTAAGAAAATCAATATTCATGTTTTGTGGATTTTATAACTTACTTTTATGTTTTGGAAAACAGTCAAGTTGGTTCTCGTACTTTTATGAAAAAATCAATTAGATCCTCATTTTTCTAAACAAATCAATCAAATTTCCTGACATTGTAAAAATGTTCAATTAAGTAAATTTGCAGGCTACTTGTCATATCACCAGGTCACCTATTGATGTGGCACACATGTATAATTAGTGTAATAGATATAATTATTATAATTTTAATTTTAATTGTAATTATTATAATTATAATTATAATTATAATCTTATATAATTATAATTATAATTATGGAAATATTCAAATCAGATAAGATCAGAAAGATCCAGATCAGATCAGACCAGATGAGAAAGATTCATATCAGGTCAGATAAAAAAGATTCAGATCAGATCAGATCAGATCAAAAAAACCCAGACCACATCTGATCTTATCTGAACTTAAAAATTCAGATTAGGAACATTCATATCATGTGAAGAGAACAACTTCTAACTCCTTGAACCATCATAAGTGCATCAATTTCTACATTGATGAGCTCCCACCCCTCCCTAAGAACCTCCAACACAACTTTTTGAATACCAATAGCCTTAGGGGGTGTTTGGATCTGATTCTAAAACTGCTTCTGCTCCTTTAGGGAGCAGAATCAGAAGCTGGAGTGTTTGGGTAAAAGTGTAGAAGTGATTCTGGTGCTCAAATTTACTCCTAGAATCAGTTTTTTAGAAGCTGGGGGTGACCAGCTACTGAAAACTGATTCTGATTCTACTTCTGCTTTAAAAAAGAAGCAGAAGTAGTTCCAAACACCCCCTTAGTCTCTGTCGGGAACCAATCTGCTTGCCTCAAATCACCCAAGGCTTTAAGAAATTCGCCTCGATCATTCCTAGATATCCATCCCCATGCTTGAATGCCTTAGTCCGTAGTAAGATATGGCGTTTGTTCTATATTGACTAATTAATAGAAAGGGTATTAAGAAATGTGTCTCGTTATTAATAGTTATGCTACATCAATTGGAAGTCATCCACAATTAAGTATTCGAGAGGGACAATGATCAACGAGCACTTAATTAAGTGGAAATTAGCAAAACCAATGCTGATTACCTTAGATATTTTATTTCACTCATTTTAGTATTTTATTTGCTTTCTCAATTATCAAAATATTCAATCCTCTCTTCTGTTTACTTTTATTTATTACTTTTACATACACGCTACAAGCATCATTCAGAGTGGCTGATCTTGCTGAAATTTATGAAGTTCTGGTTGAAGTGCCTCCATTGGATGATTTTGTTGATTTAAGAAAAAATTATGTTTAAAATGTACTTCGTATTTTATTAATTAAATAAAAAAAGTATTTGTAAAAATTGCTAAAATGATTATCTACACTAACTTCAGCCAATATAGTAAGAAAAGACGCTATGTTTAAAAAACCGACCCGACCCGGCCGGGTTGACCCGGAACCCGGTGACCCGGACAAAAATCCGGTTCGGTTTCTTCAAAACCCGAAAATGGTAAAACACCGGAAAAACCCGGTTGACCCGAAAAAAAACCGATCCGGACCCGACCCAAGAAACCCAAAAAACCCGGGAAAACCCGGTTTTCAGTCTTTCAAAAAAAAAAAAAGTAATTTCTTTTTTAATTTTAATGCATTTTTTAGACCCATAAAATTGCAATTTCAATTCCCTAAAAAGAAAAACTATGTAATATATTTATATATTTATTTAAGAATGAAAATCATGCCAAATTATAATATAAATGTATAATACAAATAAAAATATATAATGACAATGTATATAATTATATGTTTATTATTATTATATAGACGTATAATCATTGGCCGGTTTTCCGGCTTTGACCGGGTTGACCCTCCGGGTCCGGGTTGACCCGTGACCCAGTCACATGACCGGGTCGCTCACCGGTCCGGTTTTTACAACATAGAGAAAAGTAACTTAACTTTACTTTTTTGTTTGTTACACAAATTCAGAAGGAAAACAAAAGTAAGGAAAACAAAAGTTATGTGTGTGAGGAAAGCTTTTGCCCTGGTAACGGGAGAGAGCAAAAACAAATACGAAGTAGTAAAACTAAAAACAAACGCAACTTCTCTCGTCCCATTCTCGTGTAGTCGTATGTATTCTAAAACGACACGTTGTAAAGAACTACTCCTAAGACTCTTTGGTTCCGGCGGCCTTAAATTTCTTCCTCGTCGAGCCATCTCTCTGTTCGGTTTCCAATATACGCCATGTGATTTGTGCCTCTAGCATTTGAATTTCCAACGATCATTTAGTTATCTATATATCACATCATCAAGAACTTGAGAAGTAATACCGGCCAATTACCTTTACCGTGTATGGCTGCTGCGACTCAGAAAGATCATATAGAGGAGATGCGGAGATGCACGTTTTCCATCAGAGGATTAGCATACCCTCCAACGGAGGATAATAATCTCCACGCCCAACATAACCTTTCTGCTGATGATGAACTCTACTTCGAAGAGGACGACCATCTCCACTTTCTAATGGAACTCATTCAGGTACATGCATGACGAGCAGTACACAGCCATTGCATGCATATGTTAATAAATCCGTTTGTTTGGTTTTGAATGCTATGGTACGTACATTTAGCGGCGGACGCAGGATTTCCCGATAGCAGGGGCGGCAGTACAGGAATATACATACAAATACATATATATTAAAAATTTCGGGGTAAATATACCTAGAATTTTTTTTACCCGGAGGGGCGGCAGCCCCCCATCCCATAGCCCCATGTGTGTCCGCCACTGCGTACATTAACCTAAGTTCATATAAAAAAATAACGACGACCGTACGATATTTATCAACCATTTAATTTGATGGTTTTAAATCATTATTCCTACTTGTGCAAGGTATATATCTCATCGCTCTATACCTTGAAGGTATCTTATCGCTCTATACTTGTCTCTGTTTTATCTTATAAAGTATGTAGTATTACTATCTCCGTCCCAAAAAGATTCGTCATTTTTACTTTTCTTAAATACTCAATGCATGATAACAAACTTTGTACAATTATTTTAATTATTATATTTATATATTTCCTCCGTCCTTTTTTGGTTGCAACATTCACTTTTTCACGCTTAAGCTTGTTAATGCACAACTTTGATTGGGATTATATTTAATTCTCTATTCGTAAAAAAAAATTAAAATTCAGATTATGAATCTTTATAATGAGACGAATTCAACAATATTTTTCAAAAAAATATACATATATATATTAATAAATAAAATGTAGTCAAAGTATAGTACATCATGAATAGTGTGTGTTTTTCAATGTTACAACTATTATGATACGGATGATAGTATAATTTATAAATTTTATACTTTTAAGAAAATATTTTGAATGAGGAACAACTTCATATAACTTTTATATTCTCATTAATTTTCGTATTAAAAAATATTATTAGTCAAAGTTGATTAATAATTTTCGTAGGGAGTGTTCTATTATATTACTCTCTCCATATGATATCCTTATGCTAATAACGTTGTAAGTTTAGAGCCTCAATTAGTGGATCTTGTAGCATTATTAGTCTTATTTAGTTTAATTAAGTTCCTTTATTTTAAGTGTTAGTGGCTTGAAATCCTTGAATGGCTTAACGAGTGTAGCTAGCTTTGTATTTAGCGTCAATTGCCTAAATAGGACTAAATCAATGTTGAAGACTTGAAGTGTACAAATAGGACTTTCATATATTGTAGCATAAAAATGAATTGGTTTGAAAATTTGCCCTTGATAAAATTTTAGGTCAAATTATAACAATAAAAACCTTCCCCCAACTGCCTCATTCGATGATGCCTGTAGCGTGAACTGCAGACTGCCAACACCTTCAACCCCATCCGTGCACGATCGTCACTGTCGAGACTGCCGCAGCCGCAACCAAGTGAGACCGACGTCACTGTCGCTGCTAAGATTGCCTCTGCACACAACACACAACACACAACACACTCCATAATCAAGCTAACCCACTTATCCACAAAGCCTAAACACCGCATCATGCCAAAAATGTATTTTCAAAGGCTAACATTATATTATCAATAGAACCCCGGGCTCATACCATCATAACCTGGAGCTTTATCTAGATACATAGAGAACATACATAGAGAACAGAGTTGCTTTTACCTCAATACTACCAATAGGGCGCAACAATTCATGATTATGATGCTCGGTCAACCTCCTATTAACGCAGCTAAAAATAAAGTCTCCTCCCCCTCGGATGGAGGAGAATATCTCCGTGAAATAATCATCAATCATGCGCCCGATCTGAACTCTATCGCTCTCTTACCCACCTTCTGCAAAGCGGAAACCATCAAACCTATTCTTTCCTCTTCGTTGCTTCACTGAATTATGGAAATAGCGAGTGTTCTAGTCCCTTACCTTTAGGCAAAACTCTGGTTAGTTGCTTCCAAAATTGGTTCTCCTTTTCAAGAAGCTCAAAATACTCTCTTTTTACCCTTTTGAATTCGGCCAATCCCCATTCATCACCATGTTTGCGTAAATATTTTAACCGCTTCCGGTGAATACTGATTCGTTTGCCGAAATTACCAACCTTGCCTCGTCCCCACTCCCAAACTGCTTTCCCACACATCTCAACCAGACTTACAATTCCGTTGCTTTGATTTAGACCCCATCACCCAGGCCACAAACTCATGACAGTCCTCTTCCCGGAACCAAACATTCTCAAACTTGTTTTTTCTCTTCCGGTTAACTCTTTGAGACAGAGTGAGTTTAATAAATTAAGTGAAGTGATCACTTGGAGCTCCCTTCACCGATTTCTCCACGGCGTTCCCAAAAATATGCAACGAGTTCTTCGACACCAAGATGATGTCCAACTTTTCCTTCACCCAATGAGGAGTACCTATTCCTTTTCTTATTTTGTTCCATATGTAATTATTTTGGAAAACCATCACATCTATCAAGTCATATTTTGTAAAGATTCATTATTTTTTGGTTTGAGAATGTGATGATGTAAAGCAAAATGACTCACTAAACTGCGTGCGCTTCTTTGTTATGAAGCAGCAGCCAACCTATGCAATTTTGGATGCGATTTTCATTATGGATCATTCGGAAACAGTTTCTCTGTGCTTTAGTACAGGAGTAAGACTGCATATATCTGACCCTCCTTACCTCACTGTAGGTGGGAACCTTTGCGGTACTGAGGTAAATGATGATGATGATTATGACTTAAGTGTAGTTTTATTACTACAAGTTATTTGGAAACTTCGCACAAGGAACTCTCTTGTTTCTAGGAAATTTTACATAAGGAACTCGATCTACTCTAATAGGAAGCTTCTTCTACCGTAAAATACATAAATTTAATGTACGGAGTACTAATTAGATGTTAATGCATGTACAAGTCTAGATTGCTGAGGAAAATGAGTACGAGATGGGTGTGGAGCCCAGCTTGGAGTTCGTATTTACATCAGAGGACATAACACAGACAGCTGCAAAGGCGACTCTGTTAATATTCAACAACGAGAAGGCCTTCACCCGTCAGAACATCGAGTCTAGTTGCAGCGTGGGCTTCACTGGCCAGTATGACCACATCGGCAAGAAAGGTAAATCTCTTAATTTGTACAATACATTCTGCCTAGTGCCTTCGCACCTCCCAAATCCCAATCATAAAATATAATGCCTAGATGTGATGCACAAGTAATAGTTTTGAAAATGGGTGCAAAGTTCATTCCATACGACCATACAACACAAAGTGTGAAATGCAAAGTTAAATTCTTTCTTAAAACATTCACATGAGAAAATATGTTGCAATGATCGATTAAATACTACATATATCGAAGGTGCTCAATAATTAGTTTCAATTGTAGTATATCTTTATTTTTAAGATTAATGACCAAGTATGTTTTTATTACTTAGGGCTGAAATTTGCTAATATGGTATGGTAAACGTCTGATTTCTACGTATTTTATCACTATCAAATGGGAAAGTTACCGAAATAAGATTAAAATAGTTTGAAAATGCCAAAATATGAATGATATGTTTTTTATTCCCAAAATAGGAGTAATTACTGTCAAGTTTGGAATTTATTGCCATGTTTGAGATCTAGTACTGCCAAAACATGGCAATAATTAGTCCTATTTTGGTAATAAAAACATGACAGTCCTATTTTGGAACTTTGAAACCTTTTTAGTCCTATTTCGAGTAATATTCTTATATCAAATCAGTTGAATCGATTGATTCTGCTAAAAACTTATGAAGTTTTGGTCTAAGTGAATGGATTGACTTATTCTACAAAAAAAATAACTTTAGCCAATAGAGTTAGAAAAATAATTCAATCATACTTTTTCTTATTATTACACAATTCGACACGTGAAATCAAAAGTTATGCGTGTGGTGAAAATGTTGATCCATAAACTTGATAAGCTAAAAAACATATTATTTTTACTAAACTTGTACACACAATTAGTATATTTTGTACTTTCAACCATATAATTTTTATTATTATTATTTCTCACCTACTTTGCACTTGTCAAAGTCTGCCGGGACGGAGGTAGTACGAAAAATAATTAAACAGTCAGCCCTCTTCCAGCTCCGCTCCCCAACCCACCAGCTCTCCCCATCCCTCCAGCCCTTACCCAACCTACCCAGCCCACCAGCCCCCTCGCTGGCCCCCAACCCCCCCAAACCGCTTGTTGACGGAGGATTGGAAAATTGATTCTCCATAGCAACCCCTCAGGGAGAATCGTCCCATCCGACATTAACATTAGCTTCTTTGCTGCTTTATCTAATGCCTCTATGGTCTCCCCCTATAATGATCTGCTTCATAATCTGTCTTTATCTTCGTAAGGTCTTCCCCTCTCACAAGAGGAGGTCTTCGCAGGACACCTTCACAACTGCTTTGGACTCTTGAGTCGATGTGGTTTCGATGAATGAGAAAAACCAACCGAAACATTTGGTTTGGTCAAGCATAATGTTTGTCTGCACTGTGTAGGCTGGTTGTGATCAGTCTGGGGTCATTTTTAGATGCCTCTTCCGCTTACAAAAAAAATCAGGAAAGAAGAAAAAAAATCCTCTGCGGATGTTATTGAGGAGGTAAAATGTGCAACATTTGATAAATAAATGTTAAGACCCGAGGTTCCATCTGATAGGAGGAATAGCTCATGTGTTAATATAGCACTTTGTTCATCCAAATGTTTCCGGTGTGAGACATTTAACACCCCTCCTCACGATCAGACACTTCGTGCAATTCATTCATTTTTTCTCATCGGTCCGTTTTTTCATCCGGCCGTAATTGTCATTTTTTAATAATCATGTCATCACGATTCATAAGGGGCCCCACACCATGAATCGATTTGGCTTTGATAACATGTTAAGATCCGGGGTTTCATCCTAAAAGGGCAACCTAATAGGAGGAGTAACTCATGTGTTAATATAGCACTTTGTTCATCCAAATGTTTCCAGTGTGAGACATTTAACAATAAATGTTGAAAATAGCACCGTCATGTTTTTATTCCCAAAATAGGACTAATTACTGCCAAATTTGGAAAATATTGCCATGTTTGAAGTCCGGTACTGCCAAAACATGACAGTAATTAGTCCTATTTTGGGAATAAAAACATGGAAGTCCTATTTTGGAATTTCCAAACTTTTTTAGTCCCATTTTGGGTAATATCTCAAAAAAAACCAGTCATTCTTGTTGTAAACACTATTTGTACACGGGTCGTTAATTGGGAGACAAGTGATGCCTTTTCGTTAACGAGTTTCCTGTATACAAAGGCAACTAAGGGTATACAAAATGTACAAAATGTACAAGTTGTAAAGTTGTATTTGCATATGTTCTCTTCAAACAATATCCGGGAAGAGGTTTATGGACCTTTTCTCAAACTGATTGTATTGGCTTACCAAAATATCCAGGAAAATGTGCATGGTAAGATGAAAATTATAAAAAAAAATTACACCTTGGTAAATGAAATGTTTAAGGGTATCTTATTACTTAACTACTTTAGGTGTAAAATACGAACTTGAGGCTTCATTGATATTCCTCTATTTTTATTGATGTTGTATCGTTTTTTTCATTTGCTTTGTTAAAGCTGCTTAGGGAATATTAGATAAAACTACGCAAGGTTAATCATTTCTGATGAATGTACTATTTCTTAAATGTGTTGCTTAGGTGATTCATTGATTTAGCACGTTTTATGATGCTTTTTGAGATTTAAGATCGCACACGTCTTTGAAGAAAACATATGTTTTCTCGGGTGATTCCTTTGCAGGCATTGGGTTCAAGAGCGTGTTTGCGGTCACATCCCATCCATTCATTTTCAGCAATGGATATCAAATTCGGTTCACGGAGGAACCGGGGGCGCAGTGCGAAGGCAGGTACATTGTTCCGGAATGGGTGGGTAATGACCACCCCGTTTTTGCACGCATAAAACGTACATATGGTTCATCAGCTTCACTCCCCACCACAACTTTGGTGTTGCCTCTATATTCTCACAAGGTCAATTCAGTGAAGCGGCAACTATCAAATATTAATCCAGAATTTCTCTTGTTTCTTTCCAACATAAGGAAGCTTTCAGTTAGAGAAGACAATGCTGAGCAGGAGCTCAATACTGTGACCACCATATCCATTTCAAGTGAGAAGACTCTTGTCACCAAGAAAAGTATTAATGCAGAGTCCTATGTACTTATCCTCTCCTCTGATGAAGATAAAGGGTATAAAGAATGCAGTTATCACATGTGGACCCAAAGATTCCCAGTCAAGAAGGAATGCGGGGATGTTCAGAGGATGGGCATTGATGATTGGGTCATCACACTTGCGTTTCCGCACGGGGAGCGTCTCACCAGAGGAAATCGATCTGTTGGTATCTTTGCTTTTCTTCCTACGAAGATGGTCACCAACTTCCCGTTTGTTATTCAGTCAGATTTTCTACTGTCATCATCCAAGGATGAAATCCTTCTAGACAGCAGATGGAACAAGGAGATCCTTGACTGTATTCCAGTGGCCTTCATGAGTGCATTCACCTCATTAGTCAAGGCCAATGATAATGCCCCGGTGTCGAGTCTTATTGAAATGTTCCATTTTTTGCCAGTGCACACTTCTCCGTATCCAAGATTGAATGCTAGTGTTAGGGACACAATCAAAGCAAAGTTGGTGGAGGAGGATATTGTTCCGTGTCAATCGTATACTAATCAGAAGATCTTCCGGAAACCGTGTCAAGTCGGGAGGCTGCTGCCTGCCTTTCGGAAATTGTTGAATAAGGCTAGGAAGCATAGGGTCACTTTTCATAACCTCTCCATTCGTGGAAAGTACATTCTCAATTCTGCATTTGATAATGAAAAGTACAATGGAGTCTTGAAGTTCTTGGAAGTGGAGAAAGTGGAACCTGAGTGGTATTTCGAGTGCATTTCAAACCATTGTATGGGTCGGTCTACAGATCTTGACGCTCAACTTCTGTTATTTGTTGCTGACAATTGGGGGTCATCATTATTTGACATAAACACAGGGAACTTATCGTTGCTGAACAATTTCTCCCTTCTGTCTTTGCCTTGTTGACTCGTGCTGTAGTCATGTAGGTATGATTATTATTTTTTTCCATTTTCCTGTTCTACTGTGTTCCTATGTGTGAACTTCAGTAACCTTAAACACAGCTTGTGCAATTGTGGACTTGTGGCCGGTGTTTAGGCAGAAACAAGCTCAAACGTTGTTGGACTGGACCACCATTGCTTGTCTTCTCAGTTTTGTGCATCTGCTGGAGATTATGCATTACTTTTTGTTTTTATCTCAGCTTTTGTAATTATGCAGTATTTTCCGTTTCGTTTATAATTTTAATTAAATGGTTGAGAACATTTCGTATTTATGCTACATGCTGAAGTACATCCCTCTTGTGTTTCCTCAATTATGCATCATTTTTTTTGTTTCGTACTCATAGTTGTCATGGCGCATGGCGCAACCCATGGCGCACAGGCCATTTCCCATGGCGATGGCGATGGCGATGGCGCAAATATGGCGTCGCCACGTGACAAAAAAAACCTTCAAAATGAATAACAGATACTGCAATTCATCAACCCAAGTTTACCCAACCACCAAAACATGATAAAATAGTTCAAAAGACTTCCAAAAAACATAATATTCAAAAAAAAAAGTTTCTGTCTTGCAAAATATGTTAGGATTTAGGCTTGTTAGCTTGTTTTTGTTTGATGATTATGGCATAATCATCATCAATCATCAGACTCCTCATCATCTTGGTCTGAATCTGATAGCAATGGCACACCATCCTCATTCATTTCATCCTCAGAGGGATCTGCAACCTCGTCCGTTTCCTCCATTTCCTCCGCCTCCTCTATCTCCTCTGTCTCCTCTTCGTCGTGCAGCTGAAGTGTTGATGCCCTTGATGTTGTTGCTCTTGTGTTGTGATTTGCTTCATTAACACCAACAACTTCTTTCACTACATCCCAGTTTTCCATTTCATTTTGCTCAGCAGCTTCATCAATCCATTCATTGCAATCGTCAATGTCATCCAAACATACTTTCATTTTTTTGAAAGCTGGATCTTGAAGACGTTGATTCTGCCGAATGTACACCAAATCATTCATTTTTTTTGCAGCAACCTTGTCCTTTTCTTGCTTTGAACCTAAAACAAGTAGATAACAAATCAACTACGGATAACTTAAATAGTTGAATAATTCAACTTGAATTAAATATGAAAGACAGATTTATGAACTTACATTTTCAAAAGCACTCCAGTTTCGTTCACATCCAGAAGCACTGCAAGTTAAACTAAGGATCCGAACAACAAGATGTTGCAATGTAGGAGACGAGGGGCCATTTGCAAGCCACCAGTCAACTATATTTAAAAATTCCAACCAAATGCTAATTAATAATCTAGAAAACAATACTCAGATTTCAGGATTTAAAATTTCAGCTTTCCATTCCAATTTGGATGTCAATTACAGGCTACAGCAATTGCTAGCCATCATTTAACACTTAGTCACTCACATTTGGTACTTGAAATAATTTACTAATCATACATTCATGCTTAAAATATTCAGATTTAAGGTTTTCAGATTCCATTATCATAACAGTAGGTTGTAGGATAGTAGGTTGCAGTTTAGGAGGTTCCAGTTTCCAGAAAGCTTAAATCCAGTATCTATAAACCTACAATATTAGTTCTAGCAGAAAGTTCATTAAAATAAGTTTGTAGGCAGTAGGTTACCTCATTACCAAATTTTTAAGTAAACAAAATACTTAAATAAGAAAGAGAAGACAGATTACAGTTTGCATACCCGGTGCTTGTTTGTCCCTATTGTTCATTGCCATTTTAGTTCCGAAACTTCCTCTACCATTTGTATAATTTGATATCTCCGTTGAGAACTCTACACTCTCTCCAATGCTAGTGGGCAACATCTTCTCCACACGCTTATCTATTATCTTCCAAAGAGGCATGTATTTCTCTTCTTTACCTCCCAATGTGTTTTTTATTCCCAATTTCGCTCTCTCCATAGCCTCATAAATAAAGCCCATTGGAGGCAACTCTCCATCCCTAATTCTCAATACCTTCACTACAGGCAAAGAAATCTTCATAACATAGGCAACACTCCTCCAAAAGCTTTGACGATAAATTGACTCAAAACAAGATTGACCTTCAGTAGTTTTTGCAAACATCTGCCTCAATGCCTGTTTCTGCGTGAGAAGACTTTGAAGAGTCAGAAAGTTAGTGGCAAACCGTGTGGCAGCTGGTCTAACTAACTCTCTACCCTTGGTAAATTCTTTCATTAAGTCATGAACAAGGGTATGGCTGTAGATGTAGGTAGTAATCCCTTGTGCCGTCTTCACAGTTCTTCTAACTATCGGCATCTTCTTTGAAAAGTCTTCTAGAACAAGGTCAAGACAATGAGTTGCACACCCCGTCGTGAAGATATGTGGATATCTTTGTTCTATTTTCCTCTTCGCTAATCCATAATTTTTAACATTGTCAGTCACAACTTGTATGACACTTTGAGGACCTATTTCTTTTATCCACTCGTCGAAAAGCTTGAAAAGTGCTTCCCCGGTCTTCTTGTAAGATGAAGCATCTACGACTTTCATAAACACTGTCCCTTTGCTAGAATTCACGCAAAAGTTCACTAGAGTTCTATGCAGTTTATCCTGCCACCCATCTGACATAATAGTGCAGCCATCTAATTCCCAGAATTTTTTGTGCTCACTGACCACAAGATCTGTTTTTGCGACATCTTTTCGCAAGAACGTCTCTCTCACTTCATGATACGTTGGTGCTTTAAACCCATCTCCAAACCTGCCAATCTTTTTTAGTGTTTCTTTCCACAAAGGGTCACGAGCTACATTAAAGGCGATTCAGTTCCTGTACATCCACAAACAAAGGCTTTGAGCATACTCATCCCTCTCTTTTTTCTTCATGTGTGATGGAATTGTTGTTTGCATCAATGCCTCCTTACGTTTTTTTGTTGGATATACGAAATTATCCATAGGCCCAGTCACACCACCTCCTTCTGCATTTGACTGAGAGCGAGTTATCTCAACGTCATCATCTCCAATGACCCTATTTGCACTTGACCCACCAGACTGTTGTATTGTGTATGTACTTCGAAAGGTTTGTTCACACACATTTTTCCTGAGTTAGCAGCAGATTCTTTCCAGACTAACGCCTGCAGTTCAGCCTTCTTATCAACGGGAATGCATTCACACTGTGTTGTGTTGCGGTGCTTCCCGGTCAAGTGTTGTTTAAACCTTGTAATTCCACCTTTCGTCACGTGCCCACAGTAGTTGCAGCACAATTCATTGTTGTTGTTTTCTTTCACTTTCTGACAGAGTTCCTTAGCAAAGGCTCATTTTCATCAATGGAGCCTCCAAATCAACATTTGCTTTTATTAACTTTCTGCATCATTATGAAAAAGCTTCTGGTCAGAAAGTTAACTTCTCAAAGAGTGCTTTTATTGTGGGTAAAAAGGTTAATCTGGGCAGAAGGAAGAGTATGGAAAAAATTTTGCTCATGAAATCTATCAAATTGCCTTTTAAATACCTAGGGGCGTCAATTCATCAGGGGACTACCAGAATACAACATTGCCAGCACCTTGTGGAACTCATTGATTCAAAGCTAAGTTCCTGGAGGAAAAAATTGTTAAATCAAAGTGGAAGATTAATTCTTATTAAACATGTACTCTCTTCTATCCCTTTACATCACTTGGCTGTCTCCTCTTTACCCAGAAAAGTCATTAAAATTATTGAAAGAAAAATGGCTGCCTTCTTTTGGGGAGCTCAGGGAAGTAAACAGAAGTATCATTGGTCAAAGTGGGAAACTATATGCAAACCTAGTGATGAGGGTGGCCTTAACATAAGATCCATCTCGGAGGTTCAGAGAGCTATGTCACTTAAATCATGGTGGCTATGGAAGCAGGGTAAGTCACAATGGTCAATTTTCATGCATAAAAGATACCCTAGAGATGGAAATATGCAACCCAAGTCTTCTGATTCCCCAATCTGGAAACAAATGTGCCGGGTCAATGATATAGGAGAGGAACATACCAGTGTAACGGATACAGGACAGCTTATATGGAACTCTTCTGATGGAGTGTTCAACTTAAAATCTGCTTACAATCTCATAAGGAATAAAGCATCAGTCAGATTCTCTTTTAAAAAAGCATGGTATTCTAAACAGAAGCTTAATATTAAAATCTTCATGTGGAAATATCTTAATTCCTATTTGCCATTCCCAGAAAACCTTTCAAGGTTTAATATACAGATGGCTTCAAGATGTCCTTCATGTTTTCAGCATCTACAAACTCAAGATCATTGTTTCTACTCTTGTCCTAAAGTCATGCCTATTTGGCATTACTACATGAGTTTACTGGAAGTTAACATCCCCCCCTATCATGAAATCAGACAGATTATTTTTTCTTGGTGGCTGGGGGCTACGGACAACTCCCTCCCTGGTGTCTTGAGATATGTCCTTCCTGGCATAATTCTTTGGCATATCTAGAAGAATATGAATGCGTCCATCTGGGATGATAAATCATTTGACACAGGCAACCTTATTCATCAAATCAGAACTTATACACATCGATGGTGTTTAAGTTTTCAGGGTTCCAAATTCCTAGCAGGGGAACATGATTTATCAATAGATGGTCTAGTTCCTAAGCAAATTTCAAGAAAAAGAGGCAGAATACTAGCATGGAGAACCTCTCACCCACACTTATTAAGACTCAACACTGATGCGGCCTTTGCAAACGGGAAAAGTGCGGGTGGCGCTGTCCTCCGAGATGCAAATGGTACTTTCATCTCAGCAATTTCATTTCCTCTCAAGGCAAGTTCTGTTCTTCAAGCAGAAGCTCGAACCATATTGGAAGCTCTGAAGTGGTGTAAAGGGAAGGGATATGAAGGGTTTCAAATTGAAACAGATTCAGAAATCTTGTGTAAAGCTCTCAAAAATCATAGTACCAGGGGTGTACCACATTTGGATGATATCAGTAGAGAAATTATTAACCTTCACGCTAGCATCATTCATTGCTATCGTGAAATCAACTCTGTTGCACATCAACTTGCGCAGGAGGGACTCCAGGCAGGCAGATGTTTGATCTTCTCTTCTACTAGTGAGCTTTCCATAACCGTACTTTCTCAGGTGCATTCTGATGCTACTTCGACCCCAGCTTTTCGAGCTTATCCGTAACTTTTGTCTTGATCTTTAGATGGACTTATCTTTTTAGTTGCATTTTTCTAAGTAGGGTAAGGTCTAGCCCCCCCCAACTTAGCTTCATTCTCTTTTTACTCATGCATTTTGAGAAGGAATGCCTTCTCCGATGGGGTTTTGGTCTGGTCCCCCCCCATCTATTGCAACATTTCTTATATTTTAATAAAATCTGGCAAATGTTCCCTGGCGTTTGCCCCATCGATTTTGGTGGTTTGCCCACCGGGTTAAAAAAAAAGGCAACATACATCCTTTGCTCTGCCTCTTTGGTTACCTCTATAATAACAATTAAGATAAAAAAAAGATCAATGAGCATCATCTAAAGTAAATTAAAATAAAAATGATCAATGTTACCTTTGCCAATAGTATGAGTATTTAAAATATCAACTCTCAACTATTATAAATTGATAGACAATTACACATAAAGCAAACTATTAAAGCATCTTCCAGTGTGAAGTTTAGTTTATACTCAAAATATAAAATAGAAAGTCTCTGTTTTAGTTAAACCATGCACAGTAAAGTTTAGACTTTCATAAACAGTCTAAAGTTTAATCAAATTTGTGTGTGAGTTTAAACTGTTATTTTATGTGTGTTTTTAAACTGAACATCAACTAAAGTCTAAATTGTAAAGTTTAAACTAAATTAACTTATAAAAGTGTATCAATTTATCAGTTTAAATACTTTGAGTTCTAAAGTAAAAACTTCATTTTTCAATGCTATAACTCCTATAAGTATTAAAGTAAAAACTTCATTTTACAATGCTATAACGTACTCATATAAAGTTTTGGATAAACTGTAACTTATAAACTGAACTTTTCTTCATTAATACACAACATTAAAGAGGTAGTAGTACCTTTTGTAGTTGGAAGAAGTCAACGAGAGTCCCCCTTGTCGTTTGCCTTTCTGTCGGTTGTCACAGACCTTTTCTTGTGTTGCAGCAGCTTTAAATTATCACGTGTTATCACTTTGTTGTGTTTATTTATTTGTAGTTAGGGTTGTTGTTAGTATTATGGGCTAAAATATTAAGTTTTTCTTAGAGTTTTATTGTTGTTATGGGTCGCAGATTGTTATGGCCCAAACCTCCACAACTTACTGCTCAAAAACGCGGACCCATTTTTTAAAAAACCATTCGCATCGCCATGGCGAAGGCGCAGGAATGGCGACGCCGTGCACCTCGCCACAGCCCCTTTTCATAGCGCAGAGGGTTTTTCGCGCCTCATGGCGCATGGCGCGCGCGCCATATTGCGCCATCGACTACCATGTTCGTACTATCATACTTTAGCATTATCAAGTTTTACACATGACAGAACTTTTCAAATTTGGGACCTCGCTTCTATTTAGGGGTGAAAAACACGATAGTTTTATTTTAAAATTACAAAAGTTCATGCACCTACTTTTTTTATTTAAAATATACTACGTATTTTCTTAAAGCCCTTGGGATGTGCAAGTCACCCCCTAAATTATAAAAACGTGCAACCACGACCTCCAACTCGACGAAATAGTGCAAATTGCCCCTTGAATTTAAAAAAAATCTGCAATCAAATTCTCCAACTCTGTGTTATATGCAAATGACTTTCCTGAGCGGTAAATTTACTTATTAAAGCTAATTTGCGCCATATATTAATAATATTATTTCACATAAGATTCATTTATTCGCCTCAATATATCTCACTTAAACCTTTTATTGACTGTTTATAGAACGAGGTTGAGCATGCAATCTCATGAGATGATCGTGTGTTTCCACGAATGGCTGAAGACCCGCCGGCGAACTCAAAAACTAAACATGGCACCGTCCCACCACTTCAGGAAGGAAACGACTACCGACCAAGGAAGCGGAAGTTTTGAAGACTAGGGATGTTTTTAATTGGATTGAAATTGGTTGGTTTGGTCCGAACTAAGTTTGTCTTGTTTGGTAAATGTCTGGTCTATGTGTATTTATAACTACGGAAGTCTGATCTGATCTAGTATGTTTAAGACTGGTCTAGGACTAAAAACAGTCCATCTAAAAACATCCTGGGAGATTTATGTAACCCTTTTCTATTGTTGTTTAAATATTTTGGAATTGTACAAGTCAATTTAAAAAAGGCATCATATAATTACATTTACTTTAAAATTTTGATCAATTTGGTCATTTAATCAATTTTAAAACTCTAATAGCATGTTTTTATATTTTTTATCATCTAAACAAACCGCTTTATATTAATATCATAAGGAACCAGATTGTTACAACAAATTCAACAAGACCAACACTGACAACAATTATCCCTAACCAACTACCACTATCAACCCTACGACTAGACTCAGAGACAATCACCCCTAAACGAGCAATAAGAATCGCTAACCACCAAGCGGGTGTGACACAGCAATCACTGGCCATAAAGATCCTTCCATCGACATAATATCTAGCAGAATTGTCAATCATTATTGTAGACCTAAAACTAAAGACATCAACAAAAGATAGGACAATGTAAAACATAACGCAAAAATAAAACCATGAAAAATTAAATAACTGATAAAACTTCCAAACCCTAACAACACGATCGCTCCAAGGCGGCGGTCCAGGAGGGGGGCGGACCGCCGATTTGTCTTCTCCCTTGCTCAGCCCTTCACCTCTCCCCATCTTCTCGTCGCTCGAGCCGCCTTCACTACCAACACCGCCATGTACCATTGCTGATTTGCCAAAAACTAACCTTCCAACTTCCTCCTCAATTGCAGGACTGAGCCAACGCTGCTCGAGATCATCCATAGGAGTCATAATTATCCTACGCGACGGCAGAGCCACTAGGGAGGAAAAAAACCCTACGCGGCTGAGCCGCTAGGCAGATCCAAAGGAGTCGCTCAGTTTTCTTCCGCTCGACTTAATGTTCGTAGATGTCTTCTATATTTACTTTAAAACATTTCCACTGGAGAAATTATAGAAGACTAATCTGCAGTTATGCATGTTTTTATATTAAAAATTAGTTTCTATCCACTTTTACATTTGTACTATTTTTTGTATTATTATAACATTAGTTTTAAAATTTATATGAATTTTTATTAGATTTATCAATATCCCTAATTTAATTTTTAACCTGCTATTGGAGAATTTGGCATACATCAGCTTTAACTGGTAATTACCGCTTCGGAAGGTCATTTGCACCGCAAATTATACCCTGGGACCGTTACACCGTGCGCACGGTGTACCGGTCCCCAAACGGCATCATTTTGTTTATAAAAAAATACTCCGTAACCTACGTACATCGGGAGCCGCCGCCCATCAAGGTTGCCTCTAAAGACGGACTTAAGACTTCAATCGGAGAAAGAGATGGGAGCTGTAGGACTTCCGAGCAAAGTAAGACGGTGGAGTGGTGATCTGTTACCTCCTTTGCGGCAACAGGGGTGGAAGCTGCATCCATGGCAGCGCAGAGTGGGGCAGAGCTTGGCCACCACCGATTAGAGAACGATGTGGCCGGAACTTCGTATCAAGTGCTCCATAGAATTAGATATAGGGTTTTATAAATTGAATCTGTTGTTCTTAGTGTTGGAAAAATGTGTGAAAATTGCATTAAATGGCTATTTAGGGCTACAATTCGATATATGGTACGCTCAAAACGGATAACGGGTGAATGAGAAATTGTTTTTCGAAGTTTACCCGTTAGAAGGGAAAAAGGATGGGTTTCTAGTGTGTTAATTTCCCACACCGGAAAACCCAAGGGATTTGCAACCCTTTATAAAGGGACTCTCCCCTTATGGAGTTAAGATTCCTAAGGGTAAAGGCTCTCTCCACGCGCGCAGGGGGGGTGCAAATCAAATCCCGAAATCGGAGAAGAAAAACCGCGACTTGCGTGCGCGGGCGACTTGCGGACACGAATGTCGTCCAAAAATCCATCTCTGAAGAGATACAGATAATTTTTTTTCTTCCCGAAACGTAAATTTTTTCCCGGTTGACAGAATTGCCTAGCGGCAGAAATGCTCCAGCCAGAACACCTCGGTATGGTGTTCTGGTGGCTCCAATCAGAAGGCCTTGGCAGAACCCCTCTAAAACACACTGCTGCCAATCTGAAAATTCCCTCTGTGTTCTCGTTCGCTAAAACTTTTGTTTGTGTGCTCAAACATTAGTTCGTAGTCATCGTATCCTGGGAAACGATTGTTGCAACGCTCCTAGCACCGTGAGAGGCAACAAATACGTTTTAAGGAAATCGTGCGTAGCACGAGCTTTGACTAATTCTGCTTCATCCCTTTCTTGTTTTTCTCTTGTCATTTTATTTAATTAATTTATTTTAATTAATTTTCTTTATTTTACGAAACACAGTCAACACTTAGTCCATGGATGTTTCTTCAAGCTTTTGTTTGTGCTGCTATGGAGTTTGAAGTCTACGGATGAGTGCCTGACTTCTCATTTTTATTCATCTACAACAAGTTACATTTTTTTAAAAACGATTTACATTTCCATTTACATTAAGTTACATATTTATTAATATGAGTCACACAACAAAGTAAACTCTTGTTATTCAAAAAATGATTTTTTTAATTAAAAATCATTTTTCATAATCCTGATATTAATATAAAACATATACACTATTTATTAAAAATCATTTTTCATTATCTACATTAACATGAATGTTTTACTTATATTATATTTTAAACAACTTACATTTCAACTTGACTAAAGTTACATTTCTTATAATCGTCAGTTACATTACTTTAGGCACGAGTTACATCAGTTTGATGCTGAAATAAAAAACAAATAAAAAGGAACCATGGGAGCAGGATGCTCAAGGTGAGCCGCTCCCACGGTATACGTACTCCATTTGCACTATATCGTCGAGTTAAATAATTTGGTTGCAATTTTTTTCTTTTCAATTTAAGGGGTGATTTGCACTATATGGCCTAGGGCTGTTAACGAACAGAACTTTTATCAAACTATTCGAGTTTGAGCTCGGTTTCGAACCTAATGAGCCGAGCTTAATAAGCTTTCGAACTCGAACCCGAGCTAAGTTGTAAGTTCGAAAAATTAATCGAGCCGAGCTCGAATATAGTAGTATTTGGCTCGGTTCGAACTCGAGCATATCGAAAACCCTAAAATTATAAATATAATTTATATATATGTCAAAATTTAAATATAATTAGCATAATTTTATGAATTTAAATATGATTATTAACGAACCGAATATTTGTCGAATCATTCGAGCATCACCTAAAACTTTAAAGTCGAGCATATTTATCGAGCATATCGAGCGCTCAGTTCGAACATCGAACGCCTATATATCGAGCCGAACATGAGTCTCATTTGTAAAGCTCGCCGAGCTTCGAGCTCGAACCCGATTACCACTAATTCTTTATCGAGCCGAACTCGAGCTTTGGGTGTTCGGGCTAGCCTCGACTCGCTAACAGCCCTAATATCGCCGAGTTGGAGGTCTCGATTGCACTTTTTATATTTTAGGGGGTGATTTGCACTACTGATGTTAGTTTGAGGGCTAATCTAATTTGGTACTTTTCCCTATGTACTAATAGTTTTTTTAATAAAATATAAGCATGGCTCCACAATAGCGGAAAATATTTTGTCCCACTTAGCCTAAAATCTTGGATCCTTCCTGCCTTGAACCCACTTTCATGATCGAGACATGAAAGTCGATTCTTAAGAGCCCGTTTGGTGGCACACAAATCGATTGATTTGGCTTATTTTGCTGAAATTTATGATGTTCTGGTTGAAGTGTCTGCATTGGCTGATTCTGCTGATTTAAGAAAACAATATTTTTAAAATATATTTTATTAATAAAATAAGAAAAAATATACTATCGTATATGTAAAAATAGCTAAAAATGGTCATCTAAAGTAAATTCAGCCAATACAGCAAGAAAAGTAACTACAACCTTACTTTTTCTGCTTATTACACAATTCAGCGCGCAAAAGCAAAAATTACGTGTTTGGTGAAAAAGTTGACTGATAAGCTTGATAAGCCGAAAAATAGTGTTGCCAAACGGCCTCTAAATATCGATGGGTTTAGAAATATATGGAACTTTTTTTTTTTGAAGCAAAACAGAAATGGAACTTAAACAACAAAGCACAATCAAATAATGCAATCACCTGTCAAATCCCTAATAAAACGTAACAAAAAACGTAACCAATAATAATATGTAACTTAGAAATAACTTTTAATAATATAATATCAATTATTTGAATATATATCAAAAGTGATATAATGTTAAATTTTCACCAAGTTTTCGGTTTCTTAACTCATCAAAAACAAATATCTAAATATCAAATAAGTGATTGTATATCCAAATATTATCTACTTGATGGTTTGATATTGATTTTTATGTCCTAAATGACTGGGCTTTTGTAGAAAAGTGATGCCATGTTATTTCGCCATGTTATTTTTTTATCTACATCCAAATATAGTTGGTGTTATTGGAAATCATTTTTAAAATATGTATTAATATTGATTTAGGGATGTTGAATAATATGAAAATGTATAGAAAAAATGATTGCAAATGTGTGGAAAGAATTATTATTGTAGGAAAAATTGTTCAAAAAATTATTGCAAATGTGTAGAAAGAATTATTATTTTTCATTATCCTATTTATTTTGGGTGCCTAAAAAATACGAACACTTTCTTAAATTACACTTTGTTTATTATTTATATGTCACTTTACCTTTACATTTTTTGGATGCATACTTCATTTTCTTTAAAATTCTAAAATGACCATTTATCCTTGTTCTTAAATTTGCGCCAAATCCACATATATCTTACAATGGGAGGTCATCAAGGACTCTGTGTTTGGCGAAAGTTGATATTCTTTTTAAGCCTTCTTTATGATAGCATAAGTTGGTGTTTATTATTGTAACAATTTAGTCAAGATCTCAACTTTACAGCACAATATCAATTCCATCCACTTATACAAGATCTCAACTTTATATACAGCACAATATCAATTCCACTTATACATAGTATTAATTTTTTGAACATTTAATTACGTTTTTTGTAATGACTATAGTCCATTTGGAGTCCTGAGTTTATGACAGAAAATTTGATTTAATTATATTGAATTAGAGTTTTCATATATTTTGGTATTTTCTGAAATATAAACTAATAAACATATGAAATCGGATCAAATCAAATTAAACTGAACC